TTCGCGATGCAAAACACTCGCACAGGGGATGATCACCCCGTCAACCATTGCTTATTGGGAAGGGTTCACAACCTGGCCAGCTAATCTGAGTATGGAACAACCACTAAATCCCAAATGGGGCTTGGTTTTCAGATGGTGTCTTGGCTCTCCCATGGATGATCCAAGGGATCACGTCCACTATAGCCGATAGACCAATAAGAGACATGATTATCTTCTTGGCGCCATCTTATCCCATTCAATTCCCTGATCTCAGTTTCGGTATAATTTAGCTTGTGCCTCGAATGGAGCTTTGTTGCTTGGGAAAGCAAGAAAATGGACCGATGTTGATGTCGCGACCAGCTGATGAAGGAGTCGAAGCAGCGTCGGCTTAACATAAATGAGGTACATCCTCTCTTCTGCTTGGTGGAGAGGTACTGCCACTTTCATAACGTGCTCTTAGATAGTACTTGTAGTGCAAAGTTAGGCAATCGCAACTACAGTGCCCGTAACCCCTGCACCAATGCGCTCTGGCTGCACCTGCGTCATCATCCAGCTGTGCTGTACCATTGTCGCTGTCTTACATTTCTTTTTATTAGATTGGCCTTGTCTGCCGTCAGTCTAATCTTCGAGTTTTTGTCCCAAACATTGCCAGATTCTCGTCTGTAGTTTTCATATCAAAGTCTTCTTGGACTCAGCAGATGATAAACAACTCTTGCGACTTCAATTCCACGGTTATCTATTGTCGCGTTCAGCGATAAACCGCTGTCAATTTGTCGATCGCATATTGCGACAACTAATCTTGTGCCACCACAAAACCTGGAGGCCTCCATATATACCTACATAACTACCCAGGCAAGAACCCGAGGACCAGCGCTCAACTCCAAATTGCGATCATACAACAAAAATGTCGGACCCTGCAGACAGACCTGCGACTACCGAGTCGCAACGAAATCCTTATGCGTCGGCCAGCCGCTGGCGTCACCAGGAATCATCTGCTTATGCTGCGCATGCTTCACAGCTCACTGGCGATGGCGCACCACGAGACCCTCACCAAACGACTGGTAATGTGGGCGAGCTTGCAGACTTCCTAAACCAGTCCCGCATTGAACCAGAAGACGACAACCGTGATACGGAGAAGTACAGACCCATTACCGCCGCCGCTGGTGATATAAATGGAGGCATTGCAGGTGACAATGTAGGCCAGAGCCATGCTGGCCCAGGCGCCCGTGGAGAAAATGCCCCTGACGGGAAGACCATCGTGTGTGGTCCTCTTCTGAACTACCGTCGTATGAACGAGGGACGATGGTATGGGAGCGTTCTCATAGTCGTGGAAGGTGGCGGCAAAATTCCCCTGGACCAGCCTTACTTGACCCTAAAGCAAGCTGTTCAGCCCCAAGAGGGTGGCTCTGCAAGCCAGGAGCCGACAAATGGGGCTCAAGAGGAGGTACGTGTTGATGGGAAATGTCTTTACTCGGATCCGCGCAACACCTTCTGGGCTTTCGATATCAGTGTCCCAATTCGAGCTACAGAGGCCAGCTATGAATATGCTTTGCCCGCACTACGCTTCTCCACGGAGCACAAGCCCCGAGTCAACAGGTTTTTCGTTCCTGCAAAGACCGAGTCCATGCGTGTCATGTTCCACTCGTGCAACGGTTTCAGTGTTGGAACCGACGAGGAGGCCTGGAGCGGACCGGCGCTGTGGAACGACGTGGCACGAAAGCATCGCGAGATCCCTTTTCATGTCATGGTTGGCGGTGGTGACCAGATCTACAACGATGGCATCAGAGTTGATGGTCCTCTCCGCCCATGGACTGATATAAGTAATCCCAAGAAACGTAGAGAGTACCCGTTCCCAGAGACAATGCGAGCAGAATGCGACGACTATTACCTCAAAAACTATATTCGCTGGTATAACACTGACCCCTTTGCTGGTGTCAATGGACAGATCCCCCAGATCAATATCTGGGATGACCACGACGTGAGTTTCGGAAACGGCTCTGGCTCTCTGGTTACCCTACTAATTGGCTATAGATCATTGATGGATTCGGCTCCTATGTCGATAACTTCATGCAGTGTGATGTATTCCGTGGTATTGGCGGCACTGCTCATAAATATTACATGCTCTTCCAGCATCATATGCCACCTCCTGCGTCGACTTATACTTCTGGTAGGATCACTTTCTTCATGCTCGAGTCACTCGTGTTGACCTCTTATAGACCATGCCACCCTTGAGAAAGCGAGTCAAGGACCTGACCCTAACCAACTGATGGACACCTATGTTGCACCCATGTTTGAGTCCCCGGAGTATATAGTCGGCGATCACCCCGGCCCATACGTTGCTGAGCGCTCACTCAACATCTATACACGCCTCGGTGCCCGTATTGCTCTGCTGGGCATTGACGCTCGAGTAGAGGTTCGTTCAATGTGGTTATATTTCTGTGAGCCACGGCGCTAATGAGCTGTACAGCGCACTCGCCATCAAATCAACTATCCCGAAACATACAAAAAGGTCTTCCAAAGGCTTCGTTCGGAGCTTGAAGCAGCATCAGCGGCAGGAGAGTCAATCAAACACCTGATTCTCCTCCTTGGTATTCCGATCGCCTATCCCGTGAGTAACTAGACCCAGCAGGTCGGAATGCAAATAAGCTAAATAACGTGATGTAGCGATTGACATGGCTCGAAAACATCTTCCGCAGTCCCGTTATGGGTCCTATCAAAATCCTCAACAAACGGTTTGGACTCGGTGGAAGTCTTTTCAACCAGTTCGACGGCAGCATCGATCTTCTGGATGATCTTGATGACCACTACACTGCCAGGACACACAAGAAGGAAAGACGAGAACTGATGGTTGAACTTCAAAAAATATCTGCCGAGTTCAACGTACGTGTGACGATCCTTGGAGGTGATGTTCACCTAGCTGCACTGGGTCGGTTCTACTCCAACCCAAGTCTGAAGATTCCGGCTGAAGAGGACCATCGTTACATGGTCAACGTTATCTCGTCAGCCATTGTCAATAAGCCACCACCCACGGCTGTAGCAAACCTTCTGGCCAGGAGGAACAAGATCCACCATTTGAATGCTAAGACGGATGAGACCCTGCTGGATCTGTTCAACAAAGACCCGGGCGACTCAAATAAGACGGCCAACCACAACCACTGCACAATGCCAAGCCGGAACTTTGCAACCATTACCGAAAACTCACCCAACAATCCGGAATCCCCCAATGGCAGCGTTGGCGAGAACGGGACGGAGGCAGTAGAGCAGAACTTCCTGGGCAACGATGGCCATAAGGTACTTCACATCGGGGAGCTTCAGGCTGGAACAACACACAAGGCAGCATCGAGACAATCCCATGGCAGGTCCAACGACGGAACACTTGACGTATGTATCAACGTGGAGATCAACCAGCATGACAAGGAGGGACGAACCGAGATGTACGGCTTGACGGTACCATTGCTCAACTACCGACAGCGAGACGAGCCCATGACGCCCAGAGAGTCGGTCGCGTCAAGCAGCCAGCATTAGGAGGACTTGAAGGCTGATCACTAGGAGGAGAGTCGTCAAACAGTACGAAAGACCGTTAGAGTTCGGGCCGGTGTTACGGGCTTGCGAAGTGCAATTACGGGGTGGGCCCACCGATTATGGGGCCGGGCCGGAGGAGGCGGCTTGCGAAGGCGAATTGGAAGAGGACGAAAGTGAGGGGGTACCCAGGGCGACCAGTCAGAGAGGAGCTATTCCCATGAGGTAGTTTTCATTTGTTTATACCCGTCCAAGGCAATTACCTGACATAAAAATGCACATGATGCTAAGTTATTGGACGAACAGCAGCAGGCTGTATGGATCTGGGGAAGAGAGATGTCTTAGTAGAGCATCATTGAAGTATCGAGTTAGCGGGGTTGAACAGAGTCATGTCTTTCTCTTACCTAATCCAACGAATTTCAGCATTACTAAGTTATATCATGACTACCTATCCGTCTTGGACCGGGTGTTTCTGTCATCAAAAGCACGTCTTGTAAAGTATGGTAGATAAGGAAATTTTCTTCCCCAGGCTTCCCAAATCAAAAGAGGCAAAGTCTTCGATTGTCAGAGCCACTATCTGTGCCAATTGCAGATAGCACATGACCATCAAAGTCCCCCACGTTCGGAAAACTGCGGCCATAGTTTATCAGGAACGCCAGTGGACCGACCTCGTCTAGAGCTCTCATCCTAGCCGGAACTGGCCAGGGAGAAGGGGCGTAGATACTGGCATATGAAAGGATATACAAATGAAAAAGTAAAGCAGTATTTATAGTGCTGATGCTTTGTACAACATAGACCCCTATCATCACCTTTGAAATGCTACCTCATATGCTCTTCAATCTTGGAAATCAGTTAAAAAAATATCTCGATATGTGCTTCTGGAATACAGTAAAAATACGGATAGAGACTGCCGCTCTTATTAGTGGTACGGTGCGGCTCTTCGCGGGCAAACAAAGATAACATGCCAGGCCCCATCTGCCGAGATCGGCCCCAGCATCAGAGAGCCATTGGCCTATCAGCTTCTGTTCCCGGGCTTACCGTAGCTGGGGAAGACAGGCGACGTCATGTGCCATGTCCCCACGCATTCACTTTTTAGGCCGTGATAAGCCGCGACCTCAGCAAAGATTAGCTGTTGTAGATGTGTGTAGCTTGGTGAGGAGAGCAGCTTAGCTCGCGTGGCAACGGCAGTACAGTATTTTTGTCTGAGACGAGGAGGAATTGCTACGCGAGATCTGGGTCTTGAGTCGCGATAACTGTTCCAAGATCGGAATTTTTGTTAGTCAGGGCCGTTGTCGTTGGTTGTCGTGCCAGGGATTTGTCTTCTATTTCTTCTCCCCCATCTTTCACGTCTTCCCCTCGTCTTCTTTTCTTCCTCTTCATCTTCCATCTTCGATCGTCGTCGAACAAGAGTCTTTTGTTACTGTCTTTTGCCTTTGTGATACCCCTCCCTCCACTTCGACGACTCTCGATAACGAAGAACATTCACATCCCATCACATTATAATGTCTTCTATGATGTTCCTCAACAGGGCTGGTGCCCGAGGTATCCGCAGCGTTGCTCAGACTCAGCAAATGCGAACTGCTGCGACTTTGGCTACCTTCAAGACCCCCAAGGTCTTTAACGAGCCCAACCACCACTATGCCAAGGGCAGTGACCAGCGCGAGGGTCTGACTGCTGCTATTGAGAAGCTCCAGAAGAAGCTGCCCATTGAGGTTCCCGTTGTAGTTGGTGGCAAGCAGGTAAGTTTCAACAAGTCAAGGCCACCGCAAGAACCATGTCTTACATGAATTCTCATAGATCAAGGCCTCCGCTCTCTCCAAGCAGCAGAACCCTGCCGACCATGCCACCACTGTCGCCTCTTACCACACCGCTACCACCGCTGATGTTTCGGCCGCAATCGACGCTGCTCTTGCTGCTAAGCCTGCCTGGGAGGCACTCCCATTTGCTGATCGAGCTGCTGTCTTCCTCAAGGCCGCCGACCTCATCTCCACCAAGTACCGCTACGATATCATGGCCGCCACTATGCTCGGCCAGGGCAAGAACGCTTGGCAGGCCGAGATCGACGCCGCTGCTGAGCTGGCTGATTTCCTCCGCTTCAACGTTCACTACGCTGAGCAGCTCTACAACACCCAGCCTGAGCACAACTCTCCCGGCGTCTGGAACCGTCTCGAGTACCGTGCCCTCGAGGGTTTTGTGTACGCTGTCAGCCCCTTCAACTTCACTGCCATTGCCGGTAATCTCCCTGGTGCCCCTGCTCTTCTCGGAAACGTCGTTGTGTGGAAGCCCAGTGACTTTGCCATTGCATCGAACTGGCTGGTCTACCAGATCCTCATCGAGGCTGGTCTCCCCAAGGATGTCATCCAGTTCGTTCCTGGTAACCCTGTAGACATCACCAAGGTTGTTCTGGAGCACAAGGAGTTTGCTGCTCTCCACTACACTGGAAGCACCGCTGTCTTCCGTCAGCTGTATGGTACCATCGGTCAGGGTATCGCTGAGGGCCGATACAGAGGCTATCCTCGTGTCGTTGGTGAGACTGGCGGCAAGAACTTCCACCTGATTGACCCTACAGCTGAGATCGACAATGCTGTCAAGCAGACTGTCCGTGGTGCCTTTGAGTTCCAAGGCCAGAAGTGCAGTGCCACGTCTCGACTTTACGTCCCTAAGTCCATGTGGCCCGAGTTCAAGGAGAAGCTTGTGGCTGAGGTTGAGGCCATCAAGATTGGCAACCCTACTGAACACTCCAATTTCATGGGTCCCGTCATTCACGAGGCTTCATTCAAGAAACTCTCCGGTGCCATTGATGAGGCCAAGTCCGACAAGGACCTCGAACTAGTTGTCGGTGGAAAGTACGACTCTTCCAAGGGCTACTTCATTCACCCTACTATCTACGCCACTACCAACCCCAACCACAAGTTCTTCTCTACTGAGTTTTTCGGCCCTATCCTCACCACCTACATCTACGACGATGCTGCCCCCAACGCCATGGCTGACGTCTGCAAGCTCATTGAGACCACCTCCGACTATGGCCTAACTGGTGCCGTGTTCGCTGCTGACCGTGAAGCTTCCCGCTTCGCCGAGGAGCACCTCCGTAACGCTGCCGGAAACTTCTATGTCAACTGCAAGAGCACTGGCGCTGTTGTCGGCCAGCAGCCCTTCGGTGGCTCTCGTGCTTCCGGTACTAACGACAAGGCCGGCAGCCAGAACCTCCTGACCCGCTTCGTCAATGTTCGGGCGATCAAGGAGGAGTTCACTCCTACCACCAAGATCACCTACCCCAGCAACGAGGTCTAAGTGCCGACTACCAGCATACCGTCTGCATACAAAAGCTGGAGCGGAGTTCGGACAATGATGATACGACATGGAAGACTTACGAATGTGAGCTCCTATAGGGCTGCCCATGACAGAAGGAAAAGAGCACACATCTAACAGCACGACTGCATGTGATAGACCACTGAGAGTTGGCTGTCGATCAAGTGTCTTGTCGAAAAGCTTAGGAAGCAAAGCCAAGGATCTTGAATCGCTGCAGCAGCGTGATCAAGCCTTGCTCGTGGGTCCGTGGCTTGCCAGGGGTATGTTCTTGGCCAAGAGCCGCCCCAGGGTCTCTCCCCACGTTGGTTCACCCAGGAAGGTGATGGGTGGATTTCATCCGTAGTATGGAGTAGGATTGGGGAAAATGCTGGGGGTGTGCCATACGATAGAAAAAGCCGTCGACGTCGAAAGGACGCGCACGTGCTCAATTCAGTCCAAGGACGAATAACAAAGATGAATTAACTGGTTGCGACCTTTCTTGTTCCACAGTTGATTCGAATGTTGAAAAGAAACCTTGTCTTGTCCTAATCGATCCCGGATTGTTTTGTGTCTGTGAGCTCCCAGGGGTCAAGATAGGACACGTGCCACTCTGCACTGGTTGTACATCTTTACCTATTTGAAAACCGAAGGATGCATGATACTTCTTGAGTTTGTTCGCTGCTCGGGCTTTTTTTTTTAATGGCTTGCGGAGCCGAATTTGAAGTACTGGTACCCTAATGTATTAATTGTACGGATATCGTGTATGTAAGTAAGGGTGGAGGTGGAGATGAAAGGTTGGAGAGTTTGGAGATCTCATCAAGCTCCATCTTTTGTTGCAGGGCTCACGTTCTGATCCTAATTACTCGAGCGATCTGGGCCCAAGCTCGGGGGTAGATTTGTCGGTGCGGACTCCTATTTATCCTACCTCCCGGTACTATTTCCCTTTCACTCGATAGTAAAGATGAGAGGCGTTCGTGAATACAATTGAGCTCACTCACCTACAAAAAAAAAAACCGTGACTTATACCTATTACAAGCATCATGATACCTTGACCTTCATTCCATGTCACAAAGGTGCCAATGCCGCACGCTACCAACCCTCGTGCCCTCCATTAAAGACCCCAAGTAACTTTAGGTCTTTCTTCATCGAGAATGGACAGCCACCTAAGCCTCGTTCCTCTTCTTCTGAGACTGGACCCTTGCCCACCAAAAAGTCTACGCCGACCACGTTGATCAATTCCTCACGCTGATTCGCCCATCGCCAAATAGAGCACGCGACCATTTCCTCGATGATGCTTGGTCCATGAAATCGCATCCCTTTAACCTGGTTGCTCTAGGATAAAGTTGGGCAAAGCCTGAGATAGTCTGCTGCTCATTGCGCTGGATTGGAGGGAAGAAGCGGGTTTGAACGTGAAACTCGCTGGCTAAGGTAGGCGGCGTTACGGTGCGCTGAGTTGCGTGTTCGTGTCTGCATGTGCATGTTCCGTTTGGTTCATCTATTGTTGTTGGAGCATGTATGGTACTGTATCCGTAGGTTGATCTTGGTGACCAATTTAATGTCTTTTGCCCCCATGCCCGTACCTTTATCTTGACTCTCAAACGAGACTGGAACTTGACTGCCTTTGATACTCCCATATACACTTTTCCTCAAAACTTCACGATAGCCACAGTGGTTGTATCTCTCTCTTTATTTATCCTTCTCTTGAATGCTCTCTTGACTTTGACATTGACCACCGTGTTCGATTGGCCACCATTCGCGAATAGCAACCAAGTATCATCGCTGCCTTTTTGAGGACGAGTTCAGATTCCACGATTCCAGTATGCCTCGACCAGGCCTTCCTCTCACACCTGGTTCTTCATCTGATATCAAAGGCAAGGACGGAACTCAACAGCTTTCCTCATTTCAGCTGTCTTTTGAATTGCCGCCTCCAGCAATCCATGATGCTTCCCGCATATCGCCAACCATGTCGTCTCAGGTCTCACCAACAGATACAAAATCGCACCGACTCACCACAACATCCCCAGGAGCAACATATCCAATGCAGCCTGCCGAGGCAGTAAAGGCACGCCGCCGTTCTTCTACTGCGAAAGACCAAAAGGACAATTCATTTGCCCTGCCGCCTCCACCAACGAGATCACGCAAAATCATCCAGATGAAGCCCCGGCAGGATGGTAATGGTGACAACGGTGGCAGCAAAGATAAGGCGAAGACGACCAGCAAGAATTCTGCATCAGCGAAAACAGCCACAGCAGCCAACGCCAAGACAATAGCCTCAGAAAAAGGAGATGCGGCCGCGGACGATAAGGCGAAGAAGAAGCAACCGAGTGCTACAAGCGCAGCAGGTCGAAAAATCGCCAGGAAGACCGCACACAGTTTGATCGAGCGTCGAAGGCGGAGTAAGATGAATGAGGAGTTTGCTGTGCTCAAAGGAATGATCCCGGCTTGTACAGGAGACATGCATAAGTTGTCGATCCTACAGGTATGTGTCTAAATCTTGTCCATTAAAATAGGTAGGGATCACAGCTGACTAAAGGCTCTGTATGGCAGGCGTCAATCGAGTATATTCGATACCTGGAGGATTGCGTCTCCAAGTTGAAAGCACAACAGGAGGAAGATAATGGCCAGACCGAGTCCGGGCGGCAAACACCCACAGGACGCGACCGTTTGCCGTCTATTCGTGAATTTCACCCGACTTTTCAAGAAGACCCAGTCGGCGACGAAGATGTCGAGATGGAGGACTCCGATGTCACGTCGCCCGCCATGACTGCAATGTCAGATCGTAACCCTCGCCACCCATCAGTGTCTCCTGCTCTCCCACCTCAGGATTCCCGCAACAGGGCGCAATCATATTCTTCTGTGTCAACCGACCATCGGCGTTATAGTTACAGCGTTTCTGCTGGCACATCTCCAGCATTTGGCCCACAGATATATGGTGCGCCACATTATGCCCGGAGCGATGCCTCAGCACCTGGATCAGCGTTGACGAGCCCGGCTCTCAATCCCCAGAGCGAACTCGATCAAGAGGCCATGGCTGCATTGCTGATGCTGAACAACGATCGTCGTGACTCGAAAGGCCGAGGGCTTTCAGTGCGCGATCTTCTCAGCACATAAGAGTTATGGTACCCAGCCAAGTCATGGGGATGTTCAAGCTGGGTTAAGAACGTATCTGCCACAAAAACCCAGCCTTGCTTTTGCGTTGACGCAGAGCATCTGGAAGGACTGCGACAGATTCGATGTTTCTCTTGAAAGTCGAAGGAAAATCAAGACGTGTATCCATTGTGTTGTTTTGGGCGTCGTGCGATGAGAAAGTGGAATACTAGACCATGGTGGGAAACCTGGGCTGGTTCGCTCTTTGCAAGGAGTTGGAAGAATAATGTGGGGGTTGTTTTAATGTTCATGCTTTCTTGCCGGACCGTTTTAGACGACTCGCATTATTCAATAATCACTTCTCACACAAGAGTCTGCAACAAAGAAGTATTATGATAATTATACATTCCATATCACTCAGAAATATGAATAATATGAACTATGTAATTGATTATATGAAATGTGGATCATGATATTGATATGAATCTGATCTTACTAAAGCTTAAGTCTCTGGCTTCCAGCCATATCGTCCCGAGCATCTTTGACTAGAAAGCTTCCTGATGTTAGCGGCTTGAGAATAGTGACCAGACCGGAAAAACTTACTTGTACCATAGAATTGTCGGACCAATCGTCATGAAGTGCCACAAGCTGTGAGCATCAATACAACCCAGCCAAGGTGGGAAATCAAACAGTTCCATGCTCATGGCAAATATGATCCAAGCGACCACGAAACCGGGCCAGACAGCCCACATGCGCCTTGACTCCCTATATCTCTTGAAACTAAACCAGGTCCACAGGACATTCTGCACGATGCCTGCTGCCACGTTTGCAGTCATGTTGTACGTATAATCCCAGCGGATAAACTTGAGGTACGAGACATGGCCAAGAAAGAGAGAGACGCAGACGAGCGACCAAACTCGCAGGGTGGTTCTTCTTCGCGGGGTGCGTTTGTCCAGTCTGAAAACCCTTACGACCGTGTAGTACAGACCGTACAGGACATTGGCGCCAGCAGCAAAGTAATCAAGCTCCTCAGTGAACCGGAAATCCCGAGTATGAAAGATAGAGCTGAAAACCCAAGAGGAGATGCCGACATACGCTAGCCAATCGTAAAATATTCGCAGTGAGTAAGATTTCGGTATCCTGGACTGGACCTTCTTCAAGCCATCCCAATGCGCCCAGAGATTGCCGAGAGAAAAGAGGACACTAAAGGGCTCCTGCATGCCGAGAAAGCGATAGAAGGGCCACTTCCCGTAGAATTGCTCGACCGTGAGGCCCGCGGCCATGCGCTGGCCCGTTACAATATGCTGGCAGGCATAATCGCATTCGCTGGCGCAAGTCCAGAATAGGAGTCGATGTAGAACAGCTGTTGTCGGGAGTTCACATTAGCTGTGTCTTCGGACGTGCGGATCGGGTGAATATACGGATTGGAGTTTGCGGTCTATCAGGGGAGCAGTTTTCAGCATTGCAGACCTGTGGCCGTGGTTAGTTTTTGGTGTCGCTTTTGTGCTGCATTGGCTCACCTTGAGGCAATCCTTAAATTCTGGCAACTTGTCGCCAGTTGAGGCATCGACAACTACCGTAAAAGCGAGGACGAGGACGGTCAAGGAAAAAATCCGCGCCCATGGCCGCCCCCTGTGAGTTGCCATTGCGAGCGCATCGACCTTTGAATGGCGAGAGAATGATGTTGGGAATAATGCGAACCTGCATGAGAGAGGGGGAGATACTCTACAAGTATGTATGTACAGTAGGCAGGCTAGCTTGAGCTGGTTTGACGATGTGGCTCACTTGCAACTCGACGTAACGTCGACGTTTCAGATGTGTGATTGGCCAGAAAAGACTAGTTTAGTACCCGTCCTTAATGACCGCTTTGATGGGTCTAGTTTCTTTGTGGAGAAAGACATGTTTGCTTGTTCGCTGGGGTAGCTTGACTTCGAATTCCAAACTGTAATATTTGACAAAGGAAATGTCTCCGAAGAAGACTCCCTAAACCCTCCCAGATGGATACGCCTTAGCTTGGATATATGGCTCTTATAGTCTGCTAGAATTTGATATCCCCGGACTGTATCTGCTTTTCTCTTCCAAGTCATGCATATTGGTACTTGGTAATGCTGCAAATAACTGCACCCTGGACGTATTCAACGTCGTTCCAGAGTACTTGTCATAACGTTGGACAACTTGAATACAGATTATATAATTGACTACGATGTACTCGGGGTCTCAACTGTTTCAACCGTATAGAATGCCCATGTGGCCTTCAGCAATTTTCAGAAGATTGGGCATCAGTCAAATCCCCTTGTTTCTAGCAGTCATGCCGCATAAAATTGCAACCCTACACTTGGACGCTAAGGAGAGATTCGTTGCTCGGCAACCGACAGCTCCCTGATTGGACCATATTTTCTCGTCGAACAACACGCCTTGCTTTCCATATCTCTCTTCCGTGACCCAGACGCGATAGTCTCAAGTTTTGGAAATCGTCTTGCAATGCAAGCAATGGCAATAATAACCGACTCGTAGCAAATACTTTATCCCGTCGCTAAACCAGCCATCACCAATTCCTCACCGCTTCGATCACTACACACGCCCGAACGCGCTTTACCTGGAAAACATTATCGATATGGCGACAGCTTCGCCCACACCAATGGGCAATGGTCTTGTCCGACGAACATCCCAGCGGCAAGCTTTGAGGAGATTGCCATCGCGACCCTTTATGAATCACAGTGACAACTTCCAAGGAACAACAAATGCTGCTCTCCCGAAGGGCTACCATCCCAAACCTCAGCAATTCCACGACGACAGCTCCGAGGATGAGATCCCAGTACCTATGAAGCTGAGCGCTCTCACCAAGGCGTTGCTGAACGACGGTGCTCCTGCATCAACAGATCAAGCTCCTTCACCTCCCCGGACGCGGCGACGCACCAGTGCGCTGAACGCGTCCACATCATCAGCGACTGAGACACGCCGGCACAGAAGATCCGGAAGCGTCCAGGCCCACGATGCAAGGTCCTCAAGACAAGCGAGCCCGACACCAGCTACAAGCAGAGAAATAAGTCCGGTACGAAAGAGGGTTGTAAGATTAAGCAACACACCCCAGAGTCTTAGCCAGATGAAGCCAACAAAGCGACGCTCAACTTCTGTCTCCCGATCAAATCAACGTTCTCAACCTCACAGCCGCCCTGGTAGCCGCGATATGTCTTCTGACGAGAGACAGGATTCCAAGCAGGACCCCAAGGATTCTAAGCATGATTCTCAATTGGAAGTGAACACACCTGCACAAGGTGGACGCGTAGTCCGAATTAATGCTGGTTCTCCAAGCAACAGGAGCCGAGTTGGTTCCACTGGCCCTTCTTCAGGGAGGTCGATGGAGCGATCCATGTTAGATAGATCTGCCATTGACGACAACGACCAGCCTGAAGAGCCAGCCACAGTCGCGCGAAATCCTCCTCCCTTCCACCAAGGCAGTGTCTCTCGATACCCCTCAACGAGTACGAGGACACGGCCCGAGGATAATATTAACCTGCAGAGTTCAATGCGCGTGAAGCGTGTCAGCAAGGTTGCTGGTAGCTTCTTGAGCGGACCAGCCCGACGCGGTCGCCGAAGGCAGAGCGAAGAGGAGGGGGAGCCTAACGCCGATGGAGAATTGATGTTGTCTAGCCAGGAAGCTGAGAGCCAGCCCGGAGAGGATCAACATGCCGCTTCATACTATGGAGACGGTATTCGAGATTTCAACTCAGGAAGCCCGGTAAGCGGACAAGCCGCTGCGAGGGCAGTCCATCGCCGTAATGCTTCCAACATGGACCTACGCCTAGGCTCTGCAAGAGCATCCAGGGAAACATCACCTCGTGAGCCCACACCAGAGGTTCAGGTTCCCGAGTCCGAACCAAAGCCTGAACAGGAGGAGGAGATTCATTACAGACTCCCCGCACCTCGCCCAGAACTCCCCTCCGGTCGGGATCAGGAGAACGATGTCCAAGCAAGCCTCAAGAGGACGAAACCATCAATGGAAGTTCTTCTGGACAAGATGCCAAAAAGACCAATGAGCGCCGACCCTGCTCCCCTAAGAACAGTCTCACCCGACCGAAAGCCTCTTGCTTCTATGGCTCGAAATACTCCCCTTCGCCAGGCTCCACCGCCACCACCCAAGATGTCTGTCCTCGAGGCTGCCACTGCTACTGCGGGTGCTGCTACAACTACACAGGCAAAGCAAAGGAGGAACATTCTGCGAGTGAATGGTGTAGCCTATACTCGACTTGACTGTCTTGGCCGAGGTGGCAGTGGAAAGGTGTACCGTGTTGCTGCTGAGAATGGCAAGATGTTCGCTCTGAAACGGGTTTCTCTTGAGAATGCAGATGACTCGACCATTAAGGGTTATCTTGGAGAAATTGATCTTTTGAAGAAGCTTGGAGAGGTGGAGCGAGTTATCAAGCTGTTTGACTGTGAGATGAATACAGAGAAGCAAGTTCTCACTTTGGTAAATTCACACCAGCCAGCATTGCGGATGATTTACTGACTTGGAGCAGCTTATGGAGATTGGAGAACTCGACTTCAATACCTTTTTGAGAAAGCGGTATAACCCCGAGGCTGCCAAGTTCGACCCAGTCTTTGTACGATTTTACTGGAAAGAGATGCTCGAGTGTTTGCAAGCAGTTCACCAGTGTGATATTGTCCACTCTGATCTCAAGCCTGCCAATTTTGTGCTCGTAAAGGGTCAGCTCAAGCTCATTGACTTTGGCATCGCGAACGCTATTCAAACTGATGAGACTGTCAACGTGCACCGCGAGACACAGGTTGGAACACCCAATTACATGTCACCTGAGTCTCTCATGGACTCAAATAACCCCCGAGGTGGCCGCGTTCCAGGCCGTCCTAAGCTTATGAAATTGGGCAAGCCCAGCGACATATGGTCTCTGGGTTGCATTTTGTATCAAATGGTTTATGGCCTCCCTCCATTTGGCCACATCGCCAACCAGATGTCAAGATGTCAAGCCATCATTAACTGGGATCACGACATCGAATTTCCTTCACGTGGCATGGGAGGCATGTCCGTTCCCCCTTCTCTCATCCGCACTATGAGGCGCTGCCTTAACCGCGATCACCATATGCGACCAACCTGCGAGGAGCTATTGCACGAGTCCGACCCCTTCTTATACCCCGCAGAACTCACCGATAAGGCTCTCCCCATTGACGAGGAGCTGCTTGCTAGAATCATCCAGAGCGTGGTAACGAGATGCCGGGAGCGCATGCCAACAGAGAGCGAAAGCTTGAGCGTCTGGCCACAGGCTTATTGGGCCAGTGTTAAGAAAGCGATGGCCGGGAGAATGTGACAGAAGAATTATCATGCATAATGTTGGAGTTGTCGAGGCGCTATTGCTCGCTGGATCAATGAGTTTTATGACCACTTTGAACGGATTAGAAAGAAAGCATTCATAGCTGGGTGTTGAGGAGTATCATTCTTGTCATTCGCTGCATACCTGCATACCTACTTTTGTACTTCAGACATAAGGGGTTTTTTTTATAATATGGCAAGGCTTTCGGAAGCCAGGGGCGTCTATGACTTTAACTGCGCGTTTCAGCGAGTTAACTGAATAAAAGCATCTTTCAGCGATCCAATAGCAACAAACTTGAAACGCTGTATCGGCTTTGTAAAGTTTGCTGTATAATAGTACAGCCAGCTTGGTGCTGGTAATGGTACATTGTTTCAAGGCATTTCCTATCTGTACACTGGCATCAACAGGTTTGTTGAAACAAATCCTCGAAACATCTTCCTTTCAACCCTCCGCCATCTCGTAAATCATTCGATATCCTCCAAGTTGTTGATGTTCAGCTCCGAAATCCGTAGAATAGTATATCGATGCTTGCTTTTCGCCTGCCTCATTCTCCTTTGCCTCCTCTTCTTCTTGATTTTGATTCGTAGCGGTTCAGATTCTGTTCCAACAACAGTAGCCCTGCACTCAAAAACCCGCTCATCGATATGGGGAGCGCCTTTCATAGTGTAGTCTCTACTACCGAGGACACTCGCACGGTTGAGTCGTAGTACATCTCCAGGTTGAACGCCAGGCATACGGAAAGGTAGACGAACTTGATCGCCTTCGCGCACAAGGTAGGGAAACCCATGGATATGAACAGTGATGTAGTGGTCGGGCTGGGCTGCAAGAAATGGCAGAAGGTTCCTGACTGAGTCTTCCATGGGCTTTGGAGGTGGCGTAGGATGGCTGACTTTGAAGGCGAGGGGTCGAGGTTCGTTCGCCGTGGGATTGGTGGCATTCTTTGGGTGACGCTCAGGGAATGGCTCGACGATGGGAGCTGTGGAGGTGAAGGCGCGGGCTTGGATTGCCAATAGAGACGAGGGTGTCGAGAGTCGAGCGCTGGAAGCTCTAAGCTCCAGCATGGACCGGAAGAGTACCCTGCTCATTGCGGACCGCAGTGCCTTTCGGACTTGGGCACTATCGCTGGTCAATTGAGGGGAATGGGCTGTCGACCTTGAAGTCGTTGTAGTGCATCTCGAAAAAGTTCAAGTGTTATGTGTCCGGAAAAGCGTACCACCGAGCGCCGACAGAACGGTCTCAGTACCAGCGCCGCCCCCCGATAAACCGCCACTTTTTTTTTATCGCCAGGGAAATTTCAGCATCAACTTCCCGCTAGCCATAATAAAGTCCCTGCCTGGGCGATACAGACAACATGGTATGCATTGAAGAGCGAACGATTGCCAGAATGAATAACTGATTCCCTTAAAGCCTCAGAACGAGTATATGGAAAGATGGCGAAAGCTACACGGTCGCCGTCTTGATCATGAGGAACGAGTTCGCAAGCGTACCGCCCGTGAGGGCCACAAGGCTTCTCAGGATGCCCAGAATCTGCGCGGTCTCCGAGCCAAGCTGTACCAGCAAAAGCGACACAAGGAGAAGATTCAGATGAAGAAGGCCATCAAGGCGCACGAGGAGCGCAACGTCAAGACCGCCGACGAGAAGGAGCCCACAACCCCTATGCCCTCTTATCTGCTGGACCGCACAAACCCCTCGACTGCCAAGGCCCTCAGCAGCGCCATCAAGAATAAGCGAGCTGAGAAGGCGGCCAAGTTTGCCGTTCCCCTGCCCAAGGTACGAGGTATCAGCGAGGAGGAGATGTTCAAGGTTGTCAAGACCGGTAAGAAGATCCAGAAGAAGGCCTGGAAGCGTATGGTCACCAAACCTACCTTTGTCGGACCCGACTTCACTCGACGTAACCCCAAGCACGAGCGCTTCATTCGACCTATGGGTCTCCGTTATAAGAAGGCCAATGTCACACACCCCGAGCTTGGTGTCACTGTCCAGCTCCCCATCATCAGCGTCAAGAAGAACCCCCAGAACCCTCTTTACACCCAGCTGGGTGTTTTGACCAAGGGTACCGTTATCGAGGTCAACGTCAGCGAACTTGGTCTCGTGACCGCCGGTGGAAAGGTCGTCTGGGGTCGCTATGCCCAGGTTACTAACAACCCGGAGAACGAGGGCTGCATCAACAGTGTCTTGCTGGTGTAATGTGCTCAACGGCGTCGCCGCACAACCTTAAGAGGGTTCGTTTGTCTAAGTTCGAATGCATGTATTGGCGCCAGGGCGTTTATTGGATTACCGCACGAAAAAAATGGCCATGATGGTAGATGGTTTGGTAAACGGGTTGATCGTCGACTGAAGATTCCCAGTTGTGATGAAGAAGACTCACTCGAGTTATAGGCTACGCTCTGCTAAGGCAGACCTTGACAAGGCCGTAGATAGATGAATACAAGATCTCGAAGGTACTTTAGCAGGAAGGAGACTCTATTGCTACAAGTAACAATTTCGATCCTTTCACATGCATATGGGCTACTTCTATTTGGGGTGTCAAGAACTGTGCTGTAACTACTTGATTGGAAAGCTGAGGGCATACGGGTGTGACATTCAAACATTCAATTCATAGATAGGCATGGGTTACCAGTACAGCTTTTAACAACATAAATTTCAGGACACTAGGTTGTATGTAGCTCTACAGCACTCCCACCGGCCTCAGCCAAGACATCTTAAATTTCATCAATCCGATGTTATGTCTCGATTTTTTAATACTTTTCTTCTGACTGTTTTCAGCCATTCTTATCAGTACCGTCCCTTGAAGAGCTGGGCAGGCAACCTGACTCTCGCCCCATCTACGCTTGTACCTTTTTCAAGCTAACCGAAAAGGCAGATGGCGTTGAAAAAAGGGTCCCTTTGCCGCCTTTTAAAAATCGGGCGGTGACGGCGATAAATTATTTTCTGCCCGAACTAGCAAAATCGCATTGGTCTGTGGTTCCCCGTTTCGCCCGCCAAATCTGTATTGCTCCGTTTTGCGACTCAATCTTTTTTTCCCCCTTGCCTCTCCTTCTTCTCCCCATTAACCAAAAAAACAGGATTCAAAAGTTTGAAACTTCCGTTGCACTCAATAATTCTTCAAAATGAGCGGCGATAAGATGGATGTCGAGATTGCTGAGCAAAAGATGAATTCTATGGAGCATAGCGAGCAGCATTACTTCAAGAGGTCAGTTCGCCCAGCTCTACAAGAGAATCATCGCATACTAACTGCGCCGATATAGCTATGATCACCATGGTACGAACAATCACTGAAGCTCCATAACCATTTGAAAGAATACCACTAACATATTGCTGCTCTACGATAGGTATCCACGAGGAGATGTTGGTATGTAGCTCCCCTCCCCCACAGTCCTTGCGCTGCTGTACAAGCACTGGCTGACCAGGTTTCCATAACTGCAGAAAGATGAGGTCCGCACACGATCGTACATGAACGCTATTATGCAAAACAAGCACATTTTCAAGGACAAGGTGGTTCTTGATGTTGGCTGTGGTACCGCCATTCTCTCCATGTACGTGCGAAACGAGACCCTCCAAAAGCCCCTCGTTATGCCCCGCGCTTGGGGAACGATATAACTTCCCACCTTTGCCACATGCGATGTTCTCTATGACCCGACGAAACATTAAATGAATTCGAATTGACCGAAGTTATTCACAGGTTCGCCGCCAAGGCTGGTGCCAAACATGTTATTGGTGTGGACATGTCCACAATCATCTTCAAGGCCCGTGAGATCGTCAAGGTCAACGGTCTTTCCGACAAGATCACCCTTCTCCAGGGCAAGATGGAGGAGGTCGAGTTGCCTTTCCCCAAGGTTGATATCATCATCTCAGAGTGGATGGGCTACTTCCTTCTTTATGAGTCCATGCTCGACACCGTTCTTTATGCTCGAGACACCTATCTTCAGAAGGATGGCTTGATCTTCCCTGACAAGGCCACTATCTTCTTCGCTGGTATTGAGGATGGCGATTACAAGGAGGACAAGATTGAGTGTAAGTGACTGCCGTGCTTTGAGTCCCGGCTCATAAGCCTACTTGCTAACATTGTCTTAGTCTGGAACGATGTTTATGGCTTCGACTACACCCCCCTCAAGGCCACTGCCCTGTCCGAGCCCCTCGTTGATACCGTCGAGGTCAAGGCCGCTGTCACCGAACCCACTGCCGTCCTCACGCTCGATCTTTACAAGTGCACCACAGACGATTTGGCTTTCAATGTTCCCTTCAAGCTCTCTGTTACCCGCGATGACTTCGTCCATGCCCTGGTCTCGTGGTTTGATATCGACTTCACCGCCTGCCACAAGCCCATCCGCTTCTCCACCGGCCCACATACCAAGTACACCCACTGGAAGCAGACCGTCTTCTACTTCGAGGATGTTCTCACTGTCCAGCAAGGCGAGCAGATTGCTCTCAACCTTGATGTCCGACCCAACTCCAAGAACAGACGTGATCTCGACATCAAGATCTCCTACGAGTTGGAAACTGAAGATGCTAACCGTGCCTCCAAGGGTGCGCTCGAGTACCGCATGTGCTAAAAGGCTTCTCATGAGACGGTGCTGATTTCTTGCTAATGATGACACGAGAAGTTAAAAAAGAAAAGACATCCAAGGGTTAAAAGGAGACACAGGGAGCAAGGAGATAGACACTTGCGGGAACTTGGGATCTGTGTATAGGGGGACGGCGTCTTGCATCTTACACGGGGTAAACATTGCTGCTAGATACAAACATAAAAGAGAGAAAACAACCTAATCGCGAGGGATGGCGTAGTGAGTTGACGACCCGTTATGAGTGATAAAACAAAAAAGCACTCCAGATTTACCCAGTCAAAAGATCTTTTGGTTTAATATCTAGCCTTTCGTCCTGACCCTTTATCATCTCATTGACTATGTGAAACTGCAATAGCAAGACCATCTATTGACCGATAAAGTAATGAGATTTCATTCATCGTTAAATTGGACTGAGCATCCCGCTTCTTGCCCTGCGGCTAATGCTGACCTGGGATTCATAACCCATTTTCGAGAAACCTTGCTTGCTTCTTTTCCTTCATCACATGTACTATGTTGGGTACGTCTCTCCTTTTATCCTCGCGTTATTTTATGCGCTTCCATTTTCACCTAACCGGGGTATACTTAAGAACCAAACTGCTTGACGATTTGAGCGACCTTGTTAGCGAGTTCATCAGCCTCGGAGCGAGTAGCAGCCTCCGCATAGACACGGCAAGCGTTCTCAGTACCACTGGCTCTAGCAAAGGATCGAGCACTAGTGTACTTCTTAACACACTGGTCGATCTCATCCTGGGCACCCACAGGGTGGCTGAGACGGCGCTCAGCATCTGTGGTCTGGAACAGGTCCTTGTTGCCGACTTCAACGCGAACAAGACGGTTAGGGAGGTCATTGTAGGTCATGGCCCAATCTTTGAGAGTCCAGCCCTTGTGGGCGAGAATGACTTCAACCATGAGCATATCGGAAATAGCATCGCCGACGGTCTGGTTGATGAGATCGCTGACAGCAGCGAGGGTGTCGAGAGCATCCTTCTGGGCAGGAGACTGAGGCTTGGTCTCACGGAAAGCACGGATGGCCTCCTGAGAGAAGACGACAGTACCGTGACCATTAGCCTCGAAGTAAACGCCAACGTCGAACTGGCAAGCAGCGTGGTGCAAATGCTTCACGCCAGTAGGAGTGAAGACGACGGGAAGCTGAAGGTGCTTCTCAATATAATTCGTGCTGGCACCGTTGGCATAGGCGGTCTGAACAACGCCAATGCGGAGGTCATCAGCAAGACCGGCAGATCGAACGAGGTCACCAATAAAAGAGGCATTGAGAGAAGAAATACGATCGCCATCAAGCATGAAGAAGCCTGTCTCAGGATCGACCCAGTAGTAAATCAGACGATCGGCATCACCATCGAGAGAGCAGCATCGGGCGCCGGGGACAGGCTTCGGGCTGGGAGGGGCTCGCTGCTTCGTCTTGACGAAGTCCGCTCCAGACTGAGAGAATAAATGTTAGCTAATGCGACTGGCAGCTGAAGATCTGAAGTGTACTTACATCAAGGTTCAGAACCTCGGGCCGGAGGACATCATCGTTAACAACCTTGATGTCGATGGTACCTTGAGGCAAGACCTTGAGAAACTCAGAGAGCTTGGGACCCCCAACACCGTTGGCGCAATCCACGATAAGCTGTCCCTGAGGCTTGCGACCTCGAAGAGCGCGAGTAAAAGCCTCGGACATTTTCTCGTAATAACCCTGCTCGCTAACCTTGCCATAGGCCTTAGGGGTGCCCTCTGTGTTGACGCATCGGGTCAGGTAGTGAAGCTGAGGGGTGGTGAGGATCTTGTAGTCGGTGTACTCTGTGTTGGTAGCCTCGAAAGCATCAGCGAGGGCAGCAACAAGGGAGTGGCCTGAAGGACGAGTGTCACGGCCATAGACGACGCGGCCAGGGGAGGAGAGGTCAATCTTAAGCTGAGAAGCTAGAGCTTTGTAGTTGTCGAGAAGCTCTTGATCAGAAGGAGAATTAACGAGCTTGGTAGCATATGTCTCCCACTCCTGTTCAAGCATCTCGCCCATGGGGTCAACGATTTTGACACCATTATCGACAGCTGGGTTGTGGCTAGCAGTGATCATGACACCAATGGCCTGGCCATTGAGCTTACGGCTTCGAAGACCAGACAGGAGACCGACACGGAACGAAACACCATCAAGAAGATCGGCCTTCATACGGAACCCCGCAGTGCCATATTTGTAGACATGGTTAGGCACAATAGGGTGCTTTGCCGAGGCGGCGAGGAACTTGTCGTCAGACATTCTACAGTTGCTTTGCGAGCAGAATTAATGGTGTAGTTTATGAGGTGAAAGAACGAAAGACCAGAGAAGACAAGACGCAGGCGGGAGGAAACGAGAAAGATGGAGCTCGAGAGTCCCTTTTGAAACAAATCGAGGCCTCCGCAGTGACGACCTGGCGGGGGACCTTCTGGAGGGCACCTCAGCATACGAGGGGTACCTAAATGGGGTAGCAGTGCTTACTGGTACCTACTGCAAGGGTCTGCCGTGCATTGTCTACTATTTAAGGGACCTAAGGTACCTTATTTATGCAAACCAGCCACTGCACTTTCATCCAACAAGCCGAGCTGAGCTCAGCTTAGCTTGAAAGCAACGGGATGTCTTCCAGGCGGTCAAAACTACTTTTTTATACCGCTTCAATCGAATGGTTTCCATCGGGTGCTAAAAACAGACACAAAACTCTCAGGTATGCCCCACCCGAAGCCCAGAGCTATGGATGTAAGGTGCTGTATTCTGCAGGTGGGGGACTGTATCTGGTTTAATTGGGTACATCGCTCAGCGCCTTACCCGCCACAATTTTGTTGGCGCAGGGCCTCACGTCAGCGTACAGGCTAGGAGTGAGTTCACCTCGGGCATCCATGAGGTGTACATTTCTCTCGACTTTAACGGAAGACCTCTCACCGCCCAATGACCCCGTTTGTAGGTGATGAACGAAAGAGGCACGTGATCTCGTGTCAAGTCTCTGCACCCCAGTCCAGGCAGCGCGAGGCTCTCAACGCGTCATTCTCACGACATACGGAGACGAGGACAACATTGACGAACTCAGATTTGGGTGGACTGCCACTTGTCTTTGTTGCATTTTGATCGCCAAATTTCGGAACACCTAAAGAGTTGCCCCTATCCAAGCCTTCATTTGTGCAGTTGAAGGGCGAAGGCAACATGGATGATGCCGATTCGGCCAATCCGCAGCTGCTGGCTTGGGTCAAAGAATGGCTCGATCTTGCGCGGGAACGCAATTCGAAAGGCGTTACAACATACAGAACTGCCTATAATTCGTTAAAAGCATGTCCAATCACCTTTGAACACCCTGCACAGTTGCAGCAACTCAAAGGTTTCGGCCCCAAACTTTGCGAACGCCTTGAGCAGCAATTAAAGAAACACTGCGAACAAAATGGCCTGCCTATGCCCCCACACCCAAGGTCTCGTAAGGCGATACCAGTTGCTGGAGTCGACAATGGCGAGGGCTCTTCAAAGCCTGCCAAAAAGGCACGGAAACCTAAAGCATATGTTCCTGCTTTACGCTCTGGAGCCTATGCCTTAGTGGTTGGCCTTTCTACGTTAGATGAAGACTCTTCTGCTGGAATGACAAAGGCGGAACTCATTGAAGTTGCACAACCGCATTGCGACTCATCTTTCTCGGCTCCTAGCGACCCTACCAAGTTTTACACTGCCTGGAACTCGATGAAAACTTTGCTGCAAAAGGAATTGGTGTACGAAAGAGGACGACCTCTACGGAGATACGCCTTGACTGACGAAGGATGGGAAGTCGCAAAACGTATAAAAGACACAGAGCACTGGCAGGCCGAGAATGGAAGAGCTAAAGACCCGACTTCAGCACAGCCTGTTAATCCAGATTACCAACCAATTTCCAATCGTGGGCCTAGGTCGCCTTCGATTGAAATTTCCGAACCCGCGAAAGCGCCTTCAGAATACCAAAACGTTGTGTCTGATGGCCCAACAGTATCAGACGACAATTCGTTGCCAAATTTTACACCAATTCGACTACCTCCGGGGTCCTTTACGGTACACTTAGTGCTAGACGTTCGCGAGGTCAGAGCGAAGACTGATCGCGATTATATGCAAGAGGAGCTAGCAAAACTGGGTGCAAAACCCATCATGCGAAGTATGGAACTTGGAGATGCCCAGTGGATCGCGAAATGCCATGACCCAAATCTGCTCGTATCACAAGGTGCTGAGGGAGCTGAGGTCATTTTGGACTGGATTGTTGAAAGGAAGCGCCTTGATGACCTGATAGGGAGTATCAAGGATGGTAGGTTTCACGAGCAAAAGTTTCGCCTGCAACGCTCAGGTGTGAGGAAAGTTATTTACATCATCGAGGAGATCTCCATGGACCCGGAAGTAGCATCTAGATATGCCGAAGCCGTCCGGTCAGCCATTGCCTCCACACAAGTCGTCAATGGCTACTTTGTGAAGAGGACGGCCAAAATGGACGACACAGTCAGGTATCTTGCTCGCATGACAGCGATGCTGAAGCGGACATACGAGAGCAAACCACTCAACGTCATTCCTACCAAAATTCTTACATCTCAAAATTATCTTCCTCTGCTGAAGCACCTGAGAGAAGCTATATCTCCAGACTGGTATATCACTTATCCCGCCTTTTCGTCACTTGCATCCAAGTCAGAGTCTATAACTCTGCGAGACGTATTTTTGAAAATGCTTATGACCACAAAGGGTGTCACGGGAGAAAGAGCGCTCGAAATCCAGAAGCGTTGGAAAACTCCGTATGATTTTGTCAAGGCTTTTGAGGCTTGCGGAAGTGGTGAACAGGGACTCAAACGCAAACGCGAGCTGGTCTTTAGTCAGACAAGTCATCTTGTCGGTCGAAAGAAGTTTACCAAGCCTTTGAGCACCAAAATTGCAGAAGTCTGGGGTGACGCATGATAATTTTGAATATGTGCGAGGAGGCTAACGTGTACGCATACTGGAAAAGAGAGATATTCTGATTATAGTGAAAGGCAGACGGTACCAACAGGATGGAATGGACGGTGTTTTCAAGGCAATTGTATTTAAGTGTCAATGGTATCAAGCCAGTAGGATTCATGAGCATAGTGATACCCAAGATTATGAGAAGTACGAATAAACCTTTAATGATTAAATCTATCAAGCTCATGGCTTTCCGCCGAATCCCTGGGCCACGATTCTCTCGACGATCTTCTCAATAAAGGGAAACGAGGCAGCAGCTCCCGGTTCCGAGCCAACAACACCGCCCAGAGACTTCTCTGCATACTTGGCCATCATATCAACCTCAACATTGACAGTGTCGCCCTTCTTCTTCTGTGCCACGACAACCCTCTCCTGGGTGTACGCAATCAGCATAACCTCCCACCATGCTTCATCATCGTTGACCTTGGTGACAGTCAAGCTTGTGCCATCGATTGCGATAAACCCCTTGTACACAATGTACCGTAGCATATCCTTGCGGGCTGGTTGAAACCGGAAGGTCAAGGCATTGCCATCCTTCTCAACAGAGAGGATTTCCGCAGTGGTGTCAACGTGACCCTGAACAAAGTGGCCGCCCATGCGGGTATCAGCCCTAACAGCACGCTCAAGGTTGACGTTACTGCCCTCCTTGAGATCGCCCAAGTTGGTGATGCGTAGAGTTTCGGGGGCAACGCCAATCGTGAAAGCCTCGGGGGTGAAGGATGTGACTGTAAGGCAGACGCCGTTGACAGAAATGGAGTCACCGTCATGGCAGTCTGAGAGGAGCGTTGAGCCAGGAGGAATGGAAATGGTCAGAGAGGTGCCTCCTGTTGAGTCATTGGTGTTGAGGTTGGACACAACTAGAAGCATGTGAGTGAGTGAGTATCGAAGATAGATTTGAATACAACGAACCTCCCACTTCTTCAACAATTCCGGTAAACATGATGAGATATATTGTTTTGATGCTTGGGTCAGTGATGTTGAATAGGCAGGATTATATATCGAAGCCGTCGGAAAGTCTACAGGTAACAAGCAATGACAAATGCTGCTTAATGAGTCGGATGGGTACTGATGCTATTCCACTCTGCCCCGCGGCCCGCGAATGCCCCGCACTGGCTCTGAAAGAAATACTGGGACAGCCTTCGGCTCTGATACTCTATTACCGCACAAGCATTGATTTCGTAAAACTGTATTCAGCAGAGTGGTAAAGCATTTACTTAGGAGCCCGTTTGTCTACTAATAATCCGGCTCAATAAACCTGCCAATATGCCTACTAATGACGGTTCATGCCAAATTACAAGGTGGGGTAGCATTCTGTCCATCTATGCCCCTCAGTCTTTAGAGAAGTACCTGGCTTTGAAAAATGGGAAAGACAGAGTGTAAATGGCGAGACGCGAGCAGAGCCTGCTCTAGCTGGCTAGCACATGAAATGAAAATTGTATTTCGTTTGCCACCATTGGTCAACTTTTGCCTGGAGAGGAAGAAGAAGTAGAGACAAGAATCGAAAACCAAGATTCACGACTGGCGACCCTCATGGGTTGTTATCGATAAGACCCGCCTAAATTTTTCAGTTCCATTTCCCACTCAACACCAAGGTACAACAAGCCTCTGACAGAACAAGACTGTCCATTAGCTACACAATATCTCGATCACAGCTTTTGCAACAGTCGCCTTTCCATTGGATCTTACACCCTGATATTTCACCGTGGCTCACACATAGCCTTCCATAACACTACCACGTTATTACTCTTTCTAGAATCGTTGACATATCTCATATCAATCACACCCCGCCTCAGAGCATTATGGCGCCCTCAAGACCGGACGCCAAAAAGACAAATCCGGACATCGCAAGACTCCTTGTCGATGCGCAAACTCAACTCGAGGTCGGGAAATTAGAAGAGGCTGCAACCCTTGCCCAGCAAGCTCTTGATGCTACCGGTCAGGGCGGCGACTTTGAGCTCAGTGCTGCAAATATTCTAGGTACAATTTTTGTCGAGTCTGGCGACATTGACGAGGCGCGAGCCGCGTTCGAGCGCGCAGTCTTTCTTGACGAAGACGGTACCGTAGATGAGAAGATAGGTGGAGGTCCTGAGAAGTTCCTGCTACTTGCACAGCTTAGCGAGGAGGGTGGTCTCGATAGTGTGCAATGGTATGAGCGAGGTGCTACCGCTCTTCGAAAGCAGATCGCAGTTCTGAGCGAGCTTCGATCGCCAACCCCTGAGCAAAGGACCGCCCTTCAGGAGAAGCAACACAAGCTCGGAGGAGTCCTGTGCGCTGTGGCTGAAGTGTACATGACCGATCTGTCATGGGAACCTGATGCCGAGTCACGTTGTGAGACTCTTATCACCGAGGCCATGCTCCTCGCCCCTGCTGCGCCAGAGACATGGCAAACAGTCGCCAATGTCAGAATCTCGCAGAACCGCGCCAACGAAGCTCAGACAGCTCTGCGCAGAAGTCTCGAGCTGTGGCAGAAGCTCCCTCCTCAGCACCCTGATGTTCCGGAATTCCCCACCAGGATTGCGCTTGCTCGTTTGTTGATGGAGACCGAATTGGAAGATGAGGCATTGAGTGTGCTTGAGCGACTTGTTACAGATGACGACACAAGTGTTGAGGCATGGTACTTGGGTGGTTGGTGTCTATATGTCACGGGCGAAAAGCTCAAGACTACTGCCTCAAAGCCATGGAACGACGAAGCCAAGGTCAGCGAGGAATGGAAGGGATCATGGAAGTCATCGCGGCAATGGCTTATGCAGTGCTTGAAACTTTATCAGCAGCAGGATTACGAAGATGAGCGCCTGGGTGAGCATGCCAAGGAATTGCTATCAGAGATCAACAAGGAGCTTGGCGAGCCAGTTGATGGTGAGGAAGATGACTGGGAGGATGCCAGCGATGGCGCAGAGGAAGACGCTGAAATGCAAGGTTGATGACTTTTTGTAAGGACAGAGAAATTGGACAAGTGAGCATTACGTATGGCGTTTAGGAACAAAATGGGCATATCTAGAAGAAATCTTGTTGCCTCTAGTTGTAGTTGAAACTGGATGGCCCAGACCCAAGTCTATATCATCATGACAGTACTAGGCCTCCCAATACCTATCGTAGCCATTCAAGGCCATATAAATCGGTGGCAACATCCGTCGTCTCAAGCCGTAGTAAGCTGCTCGCCTTTTTGTATCAGTTCCCAAGCCCAAACTCCCAAGCAATGCATGTTTGTTATACGCCACCTTATGTGGCCTCAACTTTAAGTTTCTCGATACCCTCGACAGGCATGTCGTCCTCTTCCTCTTCACCCTTACCAGCGAGACCCCTCTCCCAGAGCTGTCTACCTGTCATGCGAGCGGGCTCCTTGGTCTTCGCCTTCTTCAGCTCAGCAAGACGCTCCTCTTCCTCCTGCTGCCTCTTCTCCTCCATCTCCTTCAAGAACCCCTCCCGCCACTTCAAAAATGTCTCAGGCGTGACAGCTGTGCCGTGAAATTTCTTGTTCTCTTCTGCCTCGGCAGCCAGCGCAGCTTCCTCATGTGCCTTTATGATGATGTCCTTGCGTTGTTGGACAAGCTGCTCGGCATTATCCTTCAATGTTGATACAATTGCAAAGACCATGGCCATTCCGAGGTTCTCTTGAATAGTATCGTCGAGACTGGCAAGGAGCTGGTCGCGGTCTTCTGCGACGTTGAAGTGTTCGTGGGGTGTGGCATTTGGAGGAGCGAGGATGTCGAGATGGGGTGGCTTTTCGGGATAATCTTCTGGATATCTCACTTGGAGAAGTATGGTAGGAGGATCTTGATCTTCTTCACCTGGAATGTCTAACGCGACTGATACTCGAAACTCGGTTTCGGAGATATCTATAGGAATGGTTAGACAAAGAAGACAACATGTTTTTTCAGCAGGAGATTTGTACCTGTGATTTCATCGGGGAAAATAGATTCGAGCACTTCACGCTCTTCGATTTGATCTTCTCGTCCCATTTCGATAGGCTGTCTTCGGGTGCCTTTATAAACTGTAAAATGTTACTTTTGATAGAGCCCAATGACGAGAGTCCTACGAGTCCTCATGGAAGTGGGGAGGTTTACAGGCCGCGGGGTGTTATGCGGAACAGGTTTAGTGTCTGGTTGACCGCCCGGCATTTCCAAAGGCTCTACGGAGTACCGTCCGTGTTAGACTTTAACGCTCCGACTTCTAATTTACTGAGGGACCCATGTACCTCATCTTCGAGCGATGGCTTCTGAAGACTTGATTCGAATTTATATTACTGAAATCCCACGGACCTCGTGGACAGACTTGTGGACTTCAGTATATTACTCTGGCCTGTTCATCTCATGCTTCATCAAGCTTAAATTAATCCTGTTGTGGCTCAGGTTCTCCACATTCAGTGCACCAGGTGAAACTCGATGCAATATCCATTCACCAATGACATCAAAGCTCCCGTTTTTCCCTTGCATATTGATTTAGAGATACCGACCGACCCGATCAATATTCGTCCCAGTCACAGAGCGGGACTATGGGCTCATTACCCGTTAACCCCTTTGCCGCCAGTCTCACAGCCCGGCCATCAAGATAACTCTGATATGGAGCCTTGGGGATTCGTTTTTGGGTGTCCTCCCATAGTTGATATTCGACAGCTTGCCAAACTTAGAGTTGGTCCATGAAGTTCCCTCGTGGCTTCACCTTTCGCCTTGCCCTGACTTCAGCGATAATGACGTCCAAACCCAGTTCTCGTTGCCGCATTAGATATGCTATTGCAACGGATGCTGATCGGGACATCCCAAGGCGACAATGGATCAATACATTCGACTCTCGCGCCGAATCATCGCTTTCGATGGTTGAAGCAGTATCAATGTCGAATTCTCCTGAGATAATAGAAGATGGCGAGCGCAGTGAACCGTGGCGATCTAGTTGTAGGTCGATAAAGTCGCAGATGTCGTCTAATAAGCACAGAATGTCCATCGTTGAAGTATCAAGGCAAGGCACAAATAGATGACACTCTTGGGGGACTATTTGCCTGTTTTTAGGACTATCCCATTTCGAATATGGGCCATCCAGAAGGGAAACTATCGCTGTGATGTTGTGATGCCGAAGAACATTGCGGTTCACGGAACTCGCAACGTTCCCTACGAACAGATTCGGAGCAACCTGAGATATTGATGGGGAGTCCATATCATCTGTGATTGATGAGAGTAGGATCTTTCGGTTTCAATTGACTATGTAAAGTGAAAGTTGATCGTACTCAAATCACCTACGCCGGAGCCGGGAACGTGCTGCATTGCACTTATGCAGACCCCTCACATGCAGAGACTACTTCAGTGGCAACTCACAGGACTTCAATGCCTGTTATGTTGTGCAATGAGTTCGTTGTGGCACCGAATGCCCTTGGATTCCTGAATCTCCAAGTACGAACAAGTTCCAGTCAACCGACGCATGATATGAGCCTGAACTCGGTAGTATGTCGACTGCAGTCGGGAAATGCAATCCCGATCCAGAGGAGCCAAATGTCATTCACATGTTAATTGGCCCAGGTCTTTTACGTCAAAGACTTCTTCACATACTGTTGTACAAAATATAAGCCCTGTTGCCTTAGGCCCCTAGTGTAGGGACCTTACATTTTGTACGCCTTTGGCACAGTGGTTTAGTTTAACACATACTATTATTTGCTTTTGATCTGTGGTCCCTTACTATTGATTGATACTGAACTCGCTGTCAGACACATCGCCTAACGCTCGAGAGAGATCGTCTTTCTACTTACCAAATATAACAGTCTCTAGCCCTCAGGATCTCTTATTGTTCTAGAACTGCTCTCTTGTAATTTTTCTACACTGAAAATAGAGATCATATGCCCAGCTCAAAGAGATAACAGGTTACGAACTCGTTTTGACAAAAGCATAAACAATTAGCATGAAAGCCAACCGGGACTTTTCTAATAGTTAATATAACAACAAAACCAAAGTGTCTTTGTTTCAAGCACGTTCTTACTATGGGTGTAAGAGGATGGCAAGGGGTGCACGTGACCCTTATCCACGGTAAACCAGAAAGAATGGGGCCGTTCTTATCAGTTAGCCAAGCGCGGAGTTCAACCTTATCGGTAGAAAAAAAAGTTGCTGGACTGAATTGCGACTCTGCATCTATCCATCAAGTTCAAGGCAATGGCTACCAAATCCGCAACTGTTGGCAACAAGCGAAAGTCCGCTCCTGGCGGCAAGGCAAAAACTGATTCAAAAGTTAAGAAGGCTCGACTTGAAGAGACCAAGGTCCAGAAGCAACCCGTGGAAGAGCCGGAGGACGATGATATGGACGACGTTTCAGACGAGGAGGATGGAGGTGCCGAATTGAGTGAACAGACTCCCCAGAAGTCTTCGAATGGTGCTCAAAATGGAAAGAACTTTGAGCGAGGTATGTTATCCGATAGATACCGCGTTCGCGCCTGGCCAATGCTAACTGTTCTCAAAGGCCAAACTTCACGCGAATCCCATGCTAAACAAAAGCAGCTCGCCCAGGAGCGCAAGGCCGCTAAGCCTCTTGCTGACGAAGTTCAACGCACAAAGAAGCTGTGGGAACGGCTGCGACGAAAGTCTCACGTTCCCAAGGAGGAGCGACAGACATTGGTCGACGAATTATTCACCATCATCACGGGTCGCATTAAGGACTTCGTTCTCAAGCACGATGCTGTGCGAGCTGTTCAAACCGCCATCAAATACGCTTCACCTGAGCAGAGGAAGCAGATTGCCCGCGAATTGAAGGGTACATATGCTCAGCTTGCTGAGAGTCGATATGCCAAGTTCTTGATCGGAAAGCTTCTTGTCCAGAACGATGAAGAGATCCGCGATATCATCATCCCCGAATTTTACGGCCGTGTCCGAAAGATGATCAACCATGCCGAGGCATCATGGATCCTCGACGACATTTACCGAGGCGTTGCGACAAAGGAGCAAAAGGCTATTCTTCTCCGCGAGTGGTACGGTCCCGAGTTTTCTCTTAGGGAGCTCACCAAGGACACGGAGCCCACTGCCGACCTCAAGACTATCCTGGAAGCTGAGCCCAGCAAGCGTAGCCCCATTATGAAGACTCTAGTTGACATGATTAGTTCTCTTGTCAACAAGAAGATGACTGGTTTCACTATGCTTCATGATGCCATGTTCCAGTACTTCTCCAACACCCAGATCGGTACGGAAGAGTTCACCGAGTTCTTCGAGATGGTCAAAGGCGATGAGAGCGGAGATTTGTTGAAGAACATGGCTTTCACTCGTAATGGCGCCAAGCTCACATGCCTGCTTCTTGCCCATGGCTCCTCAAAGGACCGAAAGCAGATTCTCAAGACATATAAGGACACTTACCTCCTTATGTCCGGTGATGTTTGGGCCCACCTTATCCTCCTTACCGCCTACGACGTTGTCGATGACACCAAACTCACTGCCAAGACCATCTTCCCCGAACTCATCGGCGAGGGCGAGAACATCGCCCAGAATGTTGTCGCAACAGCCAACAACCCCTTTGCCAGGTCAACAATTCTTTACCTTTTCGAAGGATTAGCCAAGAGTCTCTTCCCTTCTAGCCAATCATTTGATGTTGAACTTCTCAAGGAGGTTCACGAGATCCGGAAGACAACAAGTAAGAAAGATGAGGACATTCGACGCAATGAACTCATTACTGCTGTTTCTCCCCAGCTCATCACCGCCATCGCAGAGGCACCCACTGAGCTGACCGCGACCGCTTTTGGGTGCCAGTTCATTACCGACGTTCTTCTCTCAGGTGTCGGTGAGAAGCAAGCTGCTCTTGAGGCCATTGCTCAGTCAGCCGGCGGTGACCCTAGCCAGGAGCCAGCCGAAGACGACCTTCAACCCCAGATCCACATTTCACGGACACCTCACGGCGCTCGCATGCTCAAGTCATTAATCCAAGGGGGCAAATATGACAAAGCAGTTGGCAAGATCATCCCTGTAGACCCTCCTCTGGAGTTCTCCAACACTCTCTATCCCGTCATCAAGGAACACATCATGGACTGGGCCACCGGCCCCGGCTCATTTGTTGTTGTGGGTCTCCTTGAGGCCCGTGACTTCAGTGAGGTTGATGCGCTCAAGAAAACACTCAAGAAGAATAAGAAGATTCTTGAGAAGGCTGCGACAGAGGAGACAGCCGAGCAGAAGGCGACACGTGAGGCTCAGGAAACTGCGCCTAAGGGAGCTAAGAAGGGTAAGAAGAAGGGCGACAAGCCTGTTGGTAATGCTGGTAGCAAACTTTTGTTGGAGAAGCTGTAAACACGGTTTGAAGATACTGGACAATGGGTGGAGAGGAGGTGCTTTATTTATCATATATCAGGCGTATAAAACTAGGGTGTTTTTGACAATGATATCACGGACTATGATATGTCGCTTACCTATCCATTTTCTGACTGTCATTGCAGCCAAGTGAGCAGCACTGATTTTCATCGAATATTGCGAGCATGATGGAACGATGCATGAGGTACAGTTGCGAAGGAAATGCGACCCAGGCAATCATTGGCCACCTTGGGTTGGTGCTGTGCAACGATGTACACAACTAACGGTTACAATATTGCGCCACAAGGGTCACACATGGCAGTGGCGGTTGTATCTGCCCGAGTGTCGATGAGGCCCCCATAGTAAGGACTCTTTGGGACGTAGGGTGTGAAAGGAATGTACGGTGGTGCTCGTAGAGAAGTGGGAGAACACCATGGGATATCACATACATACTTGCATATGGATGCTAACATTCTCACCTACGTATATCACTCGATTGTGGTTCGGACGACATCTCTGCGTTTTACAGAAGAGTGCCTGGCCGTTGGATATAACGTTTTCTCAAAGGCGTTGCGTAACTCTGTGTTTCCATGGCAGTTAGAAGTGTTACAGTGATCCAACGTTTCATACTACCTCGCCGAGGCATGATTTTGGACTTCTATGAGGCATCCAGAGTTCAGGGGGAGATCAAGCGCAACTAAGCAGCCAATCTTTTCACTACCAAATAGGTTAAGGCACAGAGCAATACCGCCAAGCCATGATAAATCGAGCATATTCATGTTAGCTTGACTTGAGTATATTCGGACTTATTCACTCCTTGGTTCGTGTGTTCGTGATCTAATGATTCGCAAACTGTTGCGCGGGGGAGGCACTTGTTTGCTTCTTAACAATCGTCACTCAGCTATATCAGGCACCTCAGCCATTTGTTAGGCACGCTGTGAGCATAAGTTACCCAAGTAAGGTGGGCACTGCTTTTCCAATATGGCTATTGATCGTGGTCTTTAAGTGGCTGTGATGGAGGAAGTTTGGCCGACAGCTGTTGGCAGCTGGCAACTGACAAACTTCCTTCGCATCCGCCTCCTTTCCTTCTCATTATAGCTATCAGGCGTAACCCGCCAAAACCGCGCGCAACGTCACAAATGCAATCGTTTCATTTCTCCTCGATTCTCTGCTTTCTTCTTTCATTCCTTGATTTCTGTTCGTTTGTGTGCTTTTCTATCAAGTCGGCGGTGATATCATCCACCTTTTTAGGAGCAGAGTAACAGAATCTTGCGTAGGTACTTATCTTCTTCTCCCAGATTCACGGAAACTGCGATACTATATCAAACGAAACTTCTTGGGGTGGCCACAAACGCAACCCAATATCATATCCAACAGGAAGCGAAACCCAAACAGACAAATATTCTTTTCTTCCTCTCAACTGCCTGTTTGCTTCCCTTGCTATACTGCGTTTGCCGATATGACCACAAGCCTACAACCTCGCCATGGGAAAGATTGCCGTACTGACAAGGCATACTACGAATGTAGTTACTTCGACTTTGAGTTCAAAGGCTGCTGCTCTCACGATCCATGCATCAGGCCTCGTGGCTGTCGCGACGACGAATCTTCAGACCACGGTTCGTGGCTGACTCGCGGCATGTCAGACACCGAGAGCGGTGCTTCAGAGGCCGCTGTTATTGAGAGCGCCATAGATGTGAGGTCTGCTGTTGGGAGCATTTTCACTGCGAGCTTTCCTTCAGATGACTCTGACACCGAAAGCACTCTCGTGACTCGAAGACGACCCTCTTCGCATACCAGCATGGGCGACGATACTGAAAACGATGCTTCCCCTCGTAGACATTCACACTCGAAGACCATGACAGACTCGGGTACTACTCGTACAATCCCTAATTCGATTCGAATTACGGTGACCAAGAATACGGTTATATTCACCAGCAAGCTGCCTTCCAGCAGCACATCCATTGAATCAATCACCGAGACCACAGTCGATACAATCCCAACCTCCTCCTTCCAGAGTACGCCAGCCCAGAGCCCTGCTGAGACAGATGCCTCAAGCCTTTCAGCAGATGATAGCGGCACTGGAGGTCCTTCCATTGGCCTCATTGTGGGAGGCGTAGTTGGGGGTGTTGTGGCTCTAGCTCTTATAGTTCTTGTTGTGATTATTCTTCGTCGCCGCAAAGATACCGACGAGCAACTTGACAGTGCTGACATGCCCTACAACAACTTTGATGAGAAGGAGGAAAAGAGCTACCTCAGTCGGATGTTGTCACGCAGCACCAACAAGGGAGGCACCGATCCGTTCGCGCCATTTGGAGGTACGTCTCATCGATATGCACCATCAGAGTCATCGTCAGAAGTGACCGACTCTCTTCCGAAACAAGTACTAAATCTACTCTGCAGGCCGTATCGACAGAGTAGACGACCCCCTCCGCCCACCCCATGGCACTTTTGAGATGGACGCCACAGAAAACGTTGTCCATGAGCTTCCAACAGCTACTTTCAGCGACGCCCAAGGAAATGGGTCTCAAACAGGAGGTCATGCGGCTGCCGGCCAGCCAGACCGTCCTTTCCAAAATGGACCTGCTGCAGCACCTGAATATCCCCCAGCAACTATGTATCCTGTTGACCCTCGGGCCAACCTCAACGCCACTCTTGAAGATCGCCAACAAAAACACTTTGTCAACCACTGGAACCAGTATAAATCCCTGGGAGAGGATACGAATCAAGGGTAATGATTTTTATGGAAGTCTCGAGGGCTCGGGTGTTCACCATTGACGAGGTCAATATCGCAAGCATTTTCTGGTGTTGTGCGGAGAATGATTACTTTGCATTTCCCCCTTTCTTTTTGTACAATATGAGTCGCTAGTTGAAAGTCGAATACTACCTACAAGTAGGTTGCAACAATCAAAAAGGTGGCGCGCAGATCTGAGCGATGTCAAAGCCCCTCTCGTCACCGTATCGACATGCAGATTCTCCTATTGGACAACGACAGCACACACTCGGTAGTCCAATCTTTCCCGCCTGCGGCCCGCTCCACGGAGCTGAATCGAGCGAGTTTTCGTCCCTGCTGTATCACCTCACTGCTTGCTTACGGTCGAGAGCTGACCACCGTCTTACTATGCCTCCAGATAATGGGAACCATTCAATTCGAGCTAACTATATGCCGAGGACTTCTGTACTGTACATAGCCCCCGCTGCTACCATGCAGGATACGTAGGTCGACCAATCTGGGCTGATGTCTGACTGTACATAAATTACCAGTCATAGCTTGGACTAGTTTCACCACAACTGTCTGGTCGTCGACAGGGACCTATCACGACACATGTATCCTGCACAATGTCCTGCCAAGATGAGGGGTGATGGTGTATCGAGCCTATCTGAGTTCACCGACCAAGACACAACAGGTTGTGGCTTCAGCTGGGCTCAGAGCAGCGGCAAAGCAGAGAGAATCTGACAGGTGGGTACGAAGCAGTGTGCGAGCAACCAGCCTGCCAGCCCAGCATTGAATTATAAGAGACCTGTCAAGAGACTGCTACCTCGACCACAATGATCTAGTCCAGTCTCAAGCATTTCGTACTATCCCTTCTCAGTAACACCACTGGTCAACATGCCTTCTCAACCTCAATCCAAACAGAGTTTCCTTCCGCTCGAGGATGGCTCACACCATGAAGCAAAAGAAGATGCTTTTGCAGCCCCCAAACGCATCATCATTTGCTGTGATGGTACTTGGCAGTCCTCGGTGTCAGGCCTGAAGAACATCCCGTCCAATGTTACAAGGCTTGCCCGTTCAATTGCTCGTAGCGGCAAGGACAAAGACGAGAAAGTGTGGCAGCAAGTAGTTTACTACGATGCTGGCATTGGAACGGGAGACCTGGGTCAGGCAGAAGCCAATCGGCAGGGAGGTGCTGGCATTGGCTTTGTGGGCAACGTTATTGAAGCCTACAACTTTATCGTCCTGAACTACAATATTGGTGACGAGATCTTTTGCTTTGGCTTCTCTCGAGGAGCTTATACCGCTCGTGCAGTCGCAGGTCTCGTCACTGATATTGGTATTGTCTGTCCCAAGGATCTGCAAGATTTCCCTGACCTTTACGCCCTATACCAGAAGAATCCTGATGGTTTCCATTTCCGCAAGTCACAAGCTTACATGGAATGGGTTAACGGTGTGCCATCTAAGAAGGAGGCTAACGGGGGATCTCAAATTCAGTCTCAATGGGACAGTCCTCCTCATCACGATGCCCCTGAGTCGTCTAGATTCGTCAAGGTTGTCGGTGTTTTTGACACTGTTGGAAGCCTGGGTATCCCCGATTTGCCATGGACTCGTTTCAATCTCAAGTTTCTCGAGAAGGCCGTCGGGATCGCCGATCCTGGTTTTCATAACATTCATCTGAGCCCTTGTTAGTAACCCCTCTCGTACTTCATATCCTCAGAACTGACGACTTCGCAGACATTCATCATGCTTACCATGCTTTGGCTCTGGACGAACATCGAGCACCCTTCTCGCCCAGTCTTTGGCACTTCCCAGCCAACAAGAACCATCACCCTCCCAAGCCCGCTAAGGATGTACAGCAGCTTTGGTCCGATTGGGAGAAGATTTACAAGAACCCCAGCGCAACGAAAAAGCAGCTAGAAGATGCATGGGGTGCTGTAGTTGATGGTGAGATGTATGAACATCTCCGGGGTAATAAGTCAGAATTATTACAAGTATGGTTTCCAGGCGTACACATCAACATCGGCGGCGGGAATGATGACCTCCTTACTGAGAAGAAGAGTGATCTCGAGCGTAAGTTGTTGCATCTTCGAACTGCTGGATGTGCACTGACAAGTATAGAAATCGCACTGATTTCATTCGCCTGGATGTGTGAGCAAGTCGCTCCTTATTTGCAGTTTGTCGAAGACGGTAGCTTGAGTGAGCTTGGAAAATCAGCAGTCCAAGACCGCTATAACCTCCTCAAACCACTCCTAACTAACATCCAAAACGGAGATGAGAAGGACTACGGCCCTGGGCCATTGTCTAGCCGCATTTCAGCCTCCTTGGACCGCACAGGTATCAAGAAAGCAGACGTTCGTAAGATCCCAGAGGAGACGGTCAGCGGCTGGGCAACTGGGCCTATCGTCGACAGCTTCACCGGCGCCATGATCGCCGGAGGCTCCGTCGACAGAGTTCCTGGCAACTATACCAAGGACGACAAGGGTCGCGAGATAGGTGATACATATGAGATGATCCATCCGTGCGTCAAGTATCGCATGAGCAAAATTCCGAGCTACAAGCCCAAAGCCCTGCGTGGCTTCGAGAGGACTGCTGATGGAGGCAGGGGATATGTGTGGACGAAGGGCAATGTTAAGATCCCGGAATTTGTGATTAAGACCGGGGATGCTTTCTCGAGGCATGTTGCGGAGCAGGATCGCAGTGCTGGCGGAAATGCTCAGGATTTCCTCCGGAAAATTGACGCTGTACTTGTCTGAGCTGTAGTTTGATTATCCCTTATACATCAATATGTTGACCAAGTCAGACAAGTGGTGTTTGTGACAATCAACGCAATTCTAGTCCCATATTGCTCCATGACACTTGGCAGGAGTATCAATAGAGCGTATGAGCATGTCCTTGGGAAATTCGCAATGGCACCCGTGACTCTCTGGTGTATCAGGGGCTTCCACATCACAAATGAAGCCAGCAAGTTCACAGACAAACTCACAATGCCAGAGCCCTACTCACCGACATTGAAGCAAATCGATTTATTAGTTTTTTGTCATAAAACATCAGTAGTGCAAGAGCAAAGCGTCCCAAGTTCTCCGGGTAACGAACATGCCATCTTAATATCAAACCTGGAAAATTATAAGAGAATGACTCTGCACCCCCTGAATACAATGTGCGGTGCCCCTTATCCCTGCTATGCGCCTCAAATGCAAGATAACTCGTTATCCTCGAGTCTCGAGTTTTATCTCCCACCTCCAAAGTCTCCCGGTCATTCTTGGTGTCAAATAGATATGTGATAACCAATCTGTAAAAGTTACGCCGTTCTTGGGTAGATATCGTCAGATCTTGTTGATTGGTAAGCCTTTCACCGATTCTGTAGCTTGGAGATCTCATCAAGGAGATCCTGAAGGTCCTGATCAGAAATCTTGTCGGCCAGTGAAGGGATGAGTGTCTTGGCCTCATCGGCTCCCTCACAGCACAGAGAACCTAAAGTTAGCTTGTTAGTATTTCCAAGACATGCATGATCTTTCAAGTCTGGAGATCGTACCCAGCTGTGCACGCTCAAATTTGGCGAGGTTCTTATGTGCGCTAAGAAGGCGTTCCACAGCTTCTACGTTCTCCTTCTGAGTGAATCGCGCAAAGTTATCGAGGTAGGTCAATGTCGAGTTTAGCATCCTAACAAGGGTCAGTCCTGTCGCCCGCGATCCAACGGCCACGGGGGCTTAATTACTCGGTGTTGTTGACGTTCCTACGATCATTCTTTCGTTTCGCGTGAAGGGCATTTAGAACCAGCGCAGCTTCGGAGAGCGTCAAGGTGTCGACATCTTGAAACTCGCCAAGGTTCAGAACTGCGGAAGCTTCCTCATTACCAGGAGCCGCGGGCTTGGGTCGAGAGGTGCGAGGGTGGTTAACTTTTCTAGGCGCGGCAGCAGCTGGGATTTGTTGTTCGTCCTCCATTGCGAGAGCAATTGTATAGGATGCGCTGAAGCTGGGTTTTCGATCGCGCAATGTTTGCGTTTCTGCACTCGATGCGCGGATGTTGGGGGAAACTCGGCAAATGAGTCAGATTCGAATTTAGAAAAGTCGGGTGTGAATTATTGAATGTTGCAAGACGAACCTAGAAGAATCCAGAGTTCGGAGGCTGAAAGAAAGCAAGACAATGCAAATGTACGTACCCCAGCTTAATTAGTGGGGCTGTCTTCTAGGCCAGCTACCCCTCAGGGACAAGAAAACACCAAACCTTGATATAGGGTGTCAAAATAAACTTGGCAAAGACAAACCTAAGTTTAGGCAAAGCTGAGCTAAGTATTTTTGGCACTTGGGGTTAAGGTCCTGAGTTTTCTTTCCTCCCCTACCCTACTTAGTAGGCTAGCTAGGCTACTAGGCCAGGCACCTCCCTGAACAGAGGCACTTGCTTTCGTCGATGGAGTCGCGTGGCGGTCCCGCTGAGAGCAGCTTGTCAATCTGTCAACCTCTAAGAACGAACAAGATAAGAAGCTCGATAGGCACTTGTAATCGACGGAGCTCATGAGAGTAATCGCTACAGGCTGTAAGAACTTCTTGAACAACCGCGACTGGCACTAACTCTCTCATTCACAGCTCATCTCTCCCGCATCTCTCACTCTTGTTCATGTCCTCACCTTTGATATAGATGGTTTAGTGAGCTTCAGGGGAAGCTAAACAGACTATTCAAAACCAGGTAGAGGCCGATTATACACCTACAAAAGGAATCATGTGAGGCCCAACACAAATTTGGATGAAGATATGTGCTAATAAGCCAGGACTATCTTTGCCCTCATCGTCATCAACAAGGCTGGAGGTTTAGTTTACAACAAAAACTTCCACGAAGGTCTTCAACAAATCAGCACAAATGATTATTTAGTTCTCGCAGGAACATTTCATGGGTAGGTGCCCCTTCAGTCTCCCAAAGCTGCCCAAATCTCTTCGTGGGCACATCGGAACTCACATCGATCTCCAGCGTTCACGCCATTACATCTCGTCTAAATCCTGTCAAGAACCTGCCAGGTGCAACACCGCCAGGAAACAGACCCGAACCATCATCAGGCTTAGAGGTTCTTGAGACAGAAAACTTCCGCATGCAGTGCTTCAACACAATGACAGGGACAAAGTTCCTTCTCTTCACCGATACAACACAAGCAAATGTCGATGTCACTATCCGCAGGATCTATGACCTCTATGCAGACTACGTCATGAAGAACCCCTTCTATTCTCTTGAAATGCCTATTCGGTGTGATATTTTTGACCGGAAACTACTTTCGTACATCCGGGAGATCAATAATCGATAGACGGGTATTGGATAGATTTACGGAGTAATCGGAATCAGCATGTATCGTAATGGCTTTAATCTTCCTGTCGTCTAAAACCCCCCTAGCCTGTGTCTATTATACATTTGCTGCAATGTTGACAGAGCTGGACCGCAATCTACTATGAAGTGTCCATCTTGTCTCCGTCGCCTTTCTTTCCGCCCTTATCTTGGTCCTTGCTGCTCGATCCCTGGTTCTCATCTTCCTCCTTGACGTCGCTCAGTGAGGCCTTCTTTGCAGCTTCTTCTTCCTCGCGAGCTGCTTTCTCCTGTCGGGCCTTTTCTTCTTCCATACTCATACGTAGAGCCAGTGCGAGCTCGGGTTCCATTGCAGGGTCGAACCCGAACTCGAATTCATCGTTACCACCGCCTGCGCCTCCAGCTCCGCCAGATCCGCCAGCGTTCTCTCCAAGGAGGATGGGGGTCGAGATGAGTTGGTCGCTAAGAAGCTTGCTGCTGGGAGGAATGACGACCAGGTGGCAGCCTTCGTTGGTCTTGACGGTGTCAATAAAGAGCTGTAGCTTGTTCTTGGTGCTGTCGTCATCGAGATCGCCGAACAGGACAAAGTCTACCGAAATGTTGGCTTTCTTCATCTTCTTTGCGAGCGTGGTAAGCTCCTTCTCTGATTCCTCGACAGGGGAGCAGACAAAGACTATTATTCGTTGACGTTGGGATCGGTTCTGGCGATGCTTCAAGGCAAGCTAAAGAGACGTCAGTACACGACACACCTATATTCAGCCGTGTTCAGACTTACAGTAGCCACCTGGATACCCGTCTTGAGATGGGATGAGCCTCCAATCTTCTTCTTCGTCCTGTGAAGGCCCTCGAGGATCTTGCCCTGCTCAGTGGTGAGAGTCACCAGCACTTCAGGTCCTTTGCCTCCCATACTCATCAAGCCAACGGATGATTCAGGGTTTCCTTGTGTGATGGTCTGAAAGGTGATGTTGACAGCGTCGACTTGCGATTCGAATCGAGTAGGTTGATAGTCGCCATTTCTGCTGCTCTCGCTGTTGTCTACGACAACCATAACCGCCTCAAGAACCATATTGGGTGCTGTTGTTGTTCTATAGCTGTGAGAATATCGTATGCAGCTATAGGGGTTTGTGGCAAGTGTGTACGTGGAGGAAGTGTTTGATATTGGTGTTGAGCTTGGTTGATAGTGAGAAGGTCAAGCTCCCAGTGTCGTAACGCAGTTCAGCCTGGCGGAGTGTAGCTCAATGATGTGAAGTAGTGCTACTTGGTTACTGCGGAGATCACTGCGCACCAACGTGTACCTATACCATGTTCCCACCGCTACCAATTGCTTGCGCGAGAGCAGCTAGTTGGCTTACCTAATATGGAGACCCACATACTTTGTTTACTTCCCGCGAGCTCCACCTCTAGCCAACGCGCCTGGGGTCGACCACTGCAACTTCAGATACGATTTCAGCACTTTTTAGTACTTGTCTAAAAACACATTCAGCGCTGATAATAACGATGGCTCCATCAAATCCCAAAAAGCAGCTTGCTGAGTCCCCTCTCAAGAAGACCATGGTTGAACATGTTCCTCTGCACACTGCAAGCCCTTCGGCGCAACCACGAAGCCCCATCAGAAAGCGAACGCCTGGTGCTATCACGATGCAACAAAAACAGGCTATGATCGATAACATGCAACTCGAGAGTATGTGGTAATTGATTTGTCACGAAATACACCGCTGACGATTTCTTAGTCACAGAACGCGCTCGCCGATTAAGAGCCCAATATAATTATATGGCAACAACAGTTCGCTCGCGTATCGAAATGCGACTCAACCGCGTCCCCATGTCAATGAGAAATATCAAGATGGGAGACTTGCTACAGAAATTCGTGGATCAGGAACAACAACGAGCCGCGAAATCGACCGCTATACGAAAACAAACAGCAACATGGGCAGCAAGTCCGCCAAAGCAGATTCAATCGGTGGCTCATAATTTGAAACCTGCGCCACGCACAAAGAAGCGCATGAGGTATGCATAATATTCAACCTCGGATTCGTAAACTAACAGTGATCCAGTGACGCAATCTCGGGAGACAAAGAAAATGACGTCGAGCATACCGAGACTGCTAAGAAGAGGGCTCGAGCTGCAACAACCACGGACGTGTCACATGCCCGATCAGGGCAAATTTTGTCGCCAACGTCCTCCAACTCACGAATGGCAAACCGACCTCCATCGCCTACTAAGTCTGGTATTGCACGACCAGCTTCGCCACTGAAGCGCCCGGCTACAGCTTCTGGTATGCTGTCAAGCATGGTGGAAAAGGCAAAGGAGACGCGAGCTGGCGCTGGCGCTGGACGCAAGATGACGACAAACTCTACCACAAGTTCAATGTCGACCAACAGCACTGCTACCACCAGAAATAAGAAAGCAATACCAGCAACAAACACTACTTCAAGAGCGCCTACTTCTCGATCTGGTACACGAACAACTCGTAGATCCATTGCCAACAGCGAGTCCAGTGAGTCGAGCAATGGCACCGTGATAAGGAAGGGGCCCGCGGCCAAGAGTGCTCCGGTCAAAAGGGGGACAACATCTCGTAAGGGGACGACAGGGGCAGTCCGTAAAAACACAGCGAAGAGCAACCCTTCCACTGCAAGCACAGGTACAGGACGAACCTTACGAAAACGAGCATAGAACGAATATTGATGGAAGGTGTCACTGGAACGTAATTGGTATATTGTTTGTCTCGATACGTATTGCAGAATCATGGTATAGGAGTTCAGGGTCGAAGCGCATGGCGGTGCACTGGATAGCTCCATGTTGCCTTATGATATTCTTTTGAAACTGTATATGCCCATAAGAAACACAGGAGCGCGAGTGTTTACAAAAAAAAATAACACTCTGGAATTTCAATCGCCAATGCCTTTTGGTATCTCCCAAACTTATGAACCACCCTTCTTCTTCTTCTTGTCTTCGACGAGTTCAATATGATCCTCGGGGATCTGCTTGTACTTCTCAAGCAGGAACTCTTCCAATTCAACGCTGACATCACCTTGCACAACAATCTCTTCTCCGCCACCTGGAAGCTTGGTCACTGAAGAGCCTGTAGCAAACTTCTTGCCAAGATCTTTGGCGACCTATGGTATGTTCAGTATGGGGTGATCATCCGCTGAGGTAGGCAACCCACCTTCTTGAGTTCCAAGTCAAACGACTCTAGTCCAATCACAGCCGTGACAAACTTCTTCTTGTTTCGCTCAATGCGCTTGATAGTGACGACACTCTTGGCTAACAGGTCGGCATGTTTTGCCTCGGCGGCTTCAGCCTTAGCGGTCTTCTTCTGTGCGTCCTTTGCGGCTCGTTTCTGGGCTTCGACGGATAGTGATGCGGTAGCAGCCTCAAGGGCCTCTATACGGCTTATTGTCAATGCATGTCCGCGTGCCGGACATTTTAAACTTCGTACCTGCGGACCAGATCCTGTTGTAAAGCTCTGGTTCGTTCTTTTCTAGCCACTCCTGGCACTTCTTAACGGTTCCGCCATACTCGCAGTACTACTTGGCCGATTGATCAGTTTTTGGAACTCTCTCGACAATGCGTGGATTCCTGAAAGGAGAGTTTTACCTCCGGAGGCAGAGTGCAAACTGTGAGGAAGGTTGTGTCAGCTATTGATTCTAGCTCTGCATCATAATCAACTAAACACCGTTATAAAAGAACATACCGCCACAATACTTGACAATACGACCCTGGGGCTCGCCCTCAGATTGCTCAACGTCAGCCATAGAGATCTCAATCTATATGCTTTAATAGTAAGTGTATGTAAAGAGCGTGCTGCAAAAAAAGGTTATAGTTGTATGGAATCGATACGCGTTTCTTTGCTCGTGCTAGATTGATCTTGCTTAACCTATGGCGGGGTAAATTTCATGGAGGGGCACTTGGGCCTTGTCCCGGGCAAGGTGAGCCAAGGTGAACCGGCCAAGGTGAGTAAGGTGAGTGAGCGATGGAAGGCCAAGTAATACAGGACTGGCCTCACCTGCCTAGGTAACCCACAGTGGGTGGAGTTCGGAGCCTGAGGCAGCACAATGCAAGGCTTGCCGACTTTAGTACCTAAATAGATCCCCAAGCAAACCGCATCACAAGACTCATCCATGCAACGCGATGGGTAAAAACGAGCACTACGTAGTACCCGTTGGTGATGATGCCGATAAGGTTGCATCGAAATCATATGCGCGCTTGCTTGTACCGACGGCATTTCGGCCCCCGCAGCCAAGAGGGAGCGGGTGCTTACCGAGCCAACATCATGAGCCTCCTTGAGATCGTCGTGAAGTCGACCATGACCTACGTCACTTGTATCATATCCATAAGTCACTTGTTCAATATTATGAGCTGGATTTTGGATCGAAAATTATCAAACAATCACCTCACATCTCGGCGGTTGCCTCAACTCACGACGTTTGATCGATCAAACCATGGCCTGCCGAGCTGGCCATCCTCATTTCATCTTGAACTGTCTACGGCCAGTGATCTGTCCAAACGAGGCTACGCTCATTCAATGACATGCGAGTTGTTCGGAAATCGCTCCTTTCGGCCAGCTCTGTTGCATGACTTGTATCGATCGAGCGACCTCATGGCCTCTTTGTTCATGCGCTCGGGCAGTGCTATCACAAAATGTTTCTGCATTCAAGCAACTTGGGAGATGCAGGCCAAGAGGCAGTCCTGGCAGTTAGCCGCCGAAGAAACAACTTTACGGCTAATTGGCCCTACAGCGGTAACAATGGACCAATAGTCTCTCACGCCTGTAACTGTCATCACAACTTTCGCGCGCGCAACAGGTTCTACCCCTGTCAATCGCTGTCAGCCAAAAATAGAAATACACAATTCTGCTTCCTATTGGCTATTTGAGTATATTAGTTGTTCGATAGCGGGGATCAACCGACCTAGTGGCCGGGCATGGATGCTACCTTGATGCAACCTCTTCTGGTCTTGTCTACCGCCAACAAAGCTCACATATCTCTGATAGCCTTGTGTGCCAGTCAGGTTCTCCAGCAGCATATTGGCGCTCCCAGGCCCCGCCTCCACCACGCTTCGTGTGCGGCAAGCTCCCATGTCTGTCGACGCATCGGCCCACCTAGACGTGGAATTGGGATGTGCTACTGCAAGTGCGTGCCGCCCAACTCATTCTAACACACTTCGGATAGCCGCTCTAGCGAGCATTGGCGATTCTGGACCAGTTCTCGGGCTTTAAGACTATGAAAATCCCCCGGCCAGGAGTCTGGCCACTCTCTTCCGCATTCTCTTCTTTCTGTCTTCAGTCTTCCGTGCTGTGTCACTTCGCAGATCTGCATAGAGGCTTCGTTGATCGAGGCATCCTGTCGTTTTCACACACTTAATACTGACGCCGGTCGTCGACCAGATCTTACTATAACGACTAATACATAGCCTTGTTATTGCGTTGAGCCCCCGGGCACGAGTCAGATATCGGGAATAACTGACTGATACGCAACATGGCTGATACACAAAACCGATACTACCCCCTGGACTCTTCGCTGGCACGAAAGCACAGGGGGAGACTTAATCCTATAATTGAGGAGGATAGCGATGATGGTATGGTTCAAAACGGGGGTCGCAGGACAAGACGCGCAGGCAATGCCCAACTCAAGATTGAGGCATGGCTAACACCGATGAGCGACCACTTCCCTACACCAAGAGGAATGAACTATCTTTCTGCTCCTATTCTCCCATCATCACCTTCAACCGACTCGGCTGCCGACACTTCACCAACCACATCCAGTAACCCCTGGAACCGCCATAGTGTCGCCACCGAGGCCACGGAGTTCGAGGATCTCTATGATGTGACTGATGATGAAGAGGATATGCTCAAGCGAAAAGCGTCTGCTAGGTCGAGGCAGGTCCCTACCAAGCAACCGACCCCGCTTGTCATTCCAGCAACACGCGATAACTCTGTTGAGACGTGGTCTGCTGTGGACAATATGAAGAAGTCGATGACTTCTCCAGTCCCTCTGACTCCTTCCGTCAAACTGACAATGTCACCTGCTCAGATGGAGTTCATGCATGGGCAACATGCAGCAGAGACACCAACCATGTCAGCTCCCCCATCTTTGGATGGGAGCTTGACTTCTGAGCAGCTCGCGGCTATGAGTGCCCCGCCCACACCCATAATCGGAAACGAGGATTCGAATACCGAAGATGCTTGGGCTGGTGTTCAACTACAACCCGGCGCTCTCGCTACCCTCCATGCCCTTGCCAGTGGCGAGGAGAACCTCCATGAACAACCATCTCAAGTTCTTGAGGTGCCTGAGCAACATTCTGTCCAACCAACTGTTGAGATGCGACAGCAGCCATTGCGACTCATCACCAGCTTCCAGTCGCAGCCAGCTATCAACAGGGCCTTCTCTCCTAACCCCAACCGTCAGTCCCTTGCAGACCTGACAAAGCTTGATATTCCATCTCCAGGCGGTTTCTTCTCCGGTCTATCTCCGCGAAGCCGAAACACATGGCACATGCCCTCCAAGTCCCCCGAGGATATGCCACCACCTACGTCCACCACCGCTGAACAGTTCTACCGGTGTCCCTGGAATATGGATGCTTCGGTTCCCCCTGTCCCTAAGCGTAAGGAGCTCGTTGAGGATTTTTATCGCAGTGTCAGGTTTACACCCGCCCCCGCTGGGTCTATCGTTGAGCAAGTCGTTGAGCTCAAGGAGGAGGATGACTTCTCGGACGACATGCCCACTGCTCGACCCGTCTTCGAGCACAAGACTGCTCCCTCTACTGTCGAGTCCGCCAACACCCCAGCTTCACCCCGGGCTGAGGATGCTCCCACCGAGATTGTGGTCGACTACGATCCTGAGTATGCTCGCAAGCAACAAAAGGAGGCTCTCTCCCATTTTGATCGCACTGAACTTTGGCTTATGGCCCAACGATCTTACCTTCGTGGTGTCCAGGATGAGTCAACCGAGGACGATGGGGGGCTCAACACCATCACTGAGGAGGCTGAGGAGGAGATTGAAGCTCCTCAAATTCAAACTGAACTTCCTCCCCTCAAGGTTCAGCAAGAAACTTCGATTGTTCCTGTCAAGAAGAGCGTTCGTTTCTCCAGCCTTGTCTCAACTTCTGATCACCCAAAGCGTCTGCCTTCCATGCTCGTCCGCCGCGAGTCTGCCTACTATCGGGCATTTCAAGACTACATCATCCGCATACAGCGCCAAGATGTATTTGTCCACCAGCTTGCTCGATTTGAGGCCATCCAGGCCCAGCGTGTTTCCCTTAAGGAATCTCACCGCAACCAGCTTCTCGGCAAGTACCAGCTCAGCGTCGTTCCCCAGTCCGCCAAGAAGAGACTCAGCGCCAATGTTGCTCGTGGCGATGATAACATCATTGACGACCCTGAGAAGCTCCGCCGAGAGAAGGAAGTTGAGGCCATGAACCAAATGACCGTTGCTGCGTGGCACGTTGCCGCCATGAAGATGCTCAACGGTGGTCGCCTCATTTCTGCTCCAGTGACCAAACGACTGGCTCGTCTTTCTCGCACAGCCCCTGGACATGGCAGTACTACTCGCGAGCGCGCTAGAGTCCTTGACTTGGGCGGGCAGACTACCTGTGACTGGGCGTGGCACTGCGCGCTCCAGTACCCCAACACCAAGGTCTACACTGTCACAACCAAGTCCATTCGTCAACTTTCCAACTGCAATGTCCGCGGTCCCCCAAACCATCGACAAGTTGCTGTTGAGAAGTTTTCTCGTCTCCCTTTCTCAGACAACCATTTCGATCTCATTTCTGCCCGAGAGCTTCACAGCATCCTCAAGCTTTTTGGCGAGAACGGGGAAGACGAGTGGGACACGTGTCTCAAGGAGTGCATGCGCGTTCTCAAGCCTGGTGGCTATCTTGATTTCTCACTCTTGGATTCAGACATCATCAACGCTGGTCCCGTTGGGCTGGCAAAGAGCGTTGAGTTTGGCTTTGCCCTTAAGACTCTTGGTTATGACCCTAATCCTACCAAGCTTTGGCTTGGTCGCCTGGCCCGTGCCGGCTTCCAAGACACTCGCCGCATTTGGATGTGTCTGCCCATGGGTGCCAGGCGAAATATGTTCAAGCCTCCTAGCCCTCCTTTGAAGGATAGCCCTAATGGCCAGGATGTCAAGACCTGCCAGATGGACGCCATGGTTATGGGAAGCAGTGATGATATTGCTAGCGCTTGCAGCATTGCTGGTGGCTGGAACTGGGAGCGATGGCTCCTCCGCTGTGAGATGGAGAAGGTTGCTGGTGAGCTCCGGCTCGCCGATACTACTACTACTGGAACTGCCATGGAGGAAGCTGGCAAGTGTCTGGATGGCGTCGCTGCCGTGTTCGAGGAGGGCCGAAACTGCAAGTCCGGCTTCCGAATGCTCAACGGTTATGCTCAGAAGCCCAAGGCTGGTACTGAGACCATCAAGATTGCTCTCTGTGAGTGATCTGCTAAACATTGAAGATTCTCTTTTGTCAACCCGCACTCGCTCGACATTTTTCATATATACCTAGATGAAGGTTTATTTTTTTGGGGGGATTGGATGTAGGAAAGGACACAATAACTTAAGTATGAGAGATGATGTTGGGATGCGTGATGATTACACGCGTAATGGCGGTTCGTTAGGTCAGGTTGCATGTGCTTGGCGAATGGGGTATGGGATATATCATGTTATGTGCTTACAGATACCATTGTAAATAGTACAGAACATGGTGTTGTGATCCTCTTTGACGGAATAAAGGTTTCTTTTGTATGAATATTACTTGAATAGGAATGAAAAATATTGAGAGGAGCAAACACAACTTAATTATATAGCTCAAAAACAAAGACGCAGTGTTGCTCACCAAGTCAGGCCAATATTGAAAGTGTGTGAGATTGGTCTTGCGAGACAATGGACAATGCCAGCTTGTGTCATCTCATCATAAGTCAGGAAAATAATTCATAGTAGTTATAGTGTTCATGGATACCTTAGGTATTTAGCGTAACACATGATTAACTATCTATGTTGGATTATGCCTTTAAGAAGCTTTATTAATATGCTGACTGGGCCTCTGCCTCAGTTGAAGTGATGCTACACTAGCAATATGAATATTGAGAATAATATCAAATATCGATTCTCATTAATATGTTATATAATGGACGGATCTGATAAACTCATTTGTGGTCACATACCTTCTCTGCTATAATTCAGGGTAGGTTATACTCACATCAACCATCAACACACAGGAAGCTAGTACGATGTAGGCGGCGATAGACTGCATGGTGCAATGCACTTTAAAATAAAACAAGATGAAAATGACTACATAAAGCATCTAGCGGCATAGTGCATGATCAGGTAACACTTTATTATTGCCAACCATTTTGCTGCCTTGTCTATTGCTTTTCTGGTATACTCTGGCTTAGACCAATAATTGAAGGCCAAAGGCAAATGTATGTTGTTCTGGAAGGGGAAAGGCTGGGGCGGGCAAAAAACGGGGACCCACATTAGCCGACAGCTTCAATCGAGTAGCTTCATGACCATCATTGACGACTACACGGACGCCTAAAACCATCACCACCAAAGTCAGTCGACATATCACATCGGTTCAATTCGTCCACGCTCGCTCCGAAAATATACATCCGCAATGTCGAACAACAACTGGCAGGAGGAAGCCATGCGCCGCCTTCGACAGATGCAGCAGGCTCGTGGTGGTGTTGGAGGAGGTGGCCCTCAGATGCCTCGAGCAGCCGGTGGTGCCCTCTTCGGCGGTCTACTACTCGCTGGTGGTGCTCTGTTCCTGTCAAACTCCCTATTCAACGTCGATGGTGGTCACAGAGCCATCAAGTACCAGAGGCTAAGTGGTGTGAGCAAGGAGATCTACAATGAAGGTGCGAGAAAACGAACTTCGGAGGATTCGGCTCAGACACTTACTTGGGCAAACAGGAACGCACATCAACATCCCTTGGTTTGAGACACCAATTGTGTACGATGTCCGAGCAAAGCCACGCAATGTTGCGTCTCTGACCGGAACCAAGGATCTGCAGATGGTCAACATCACCTGCCGTGTGCTCTCTCGCCCACAGATTGATGCTCTGCCTCAGATCTACCGTACACTAGGCACCGACTACGACGAACGTGTGCTGCCGTCTATTGTCAATGAAGTTCTCAAGAGTGTCGTTGCTCAGTTCAACGCTAGCCAGCTCATCACACAGCGAGAGAATGTTGCCAGGCTGGTTCGAGAGAACCTTGCTCGACGAGCCGCTCGATTCAACATTCTCCTCGACGACGTATCTCTAACTGTAAGCAAACAACCCCATGCTTGAACAAGAGCATCTGATCTGACTGACATCCCCTAGCACCTTGCCTTCTCTCCCGAATTCACAGCTGCTGTTGAGGCTAAGCAGGTTGCCCAGCAAGAGGCGCAACGAGCTGCTTTCATCGTCGACAAGGCTCGACAGGAGAAGCAGGCCATGGTTGTCAAGGCACAGGGTGAGGCTCGCTCTGCTGAACTGATTGGTGAGGCTATCAAGAAGAACAAGGCCTATGTTGAGCTCAAGAAGATTGAGAACGCTCGACAGATTGCTGCTCAGCTCCAAGAGGCTGGCTCTAAGAACAGACTCATGCTTGACTCTGAGGGTCTGGGTCTCAATGTCTTTGACAGTAATGACAAGAACTGATCGGATGATATGGACGGATGAGCCGCGAACGAGGAGAGGTGCTTATGGATTTTTAATGAACTCTCCACTGTATGTCTACCGAAAGGGTTGTACTATTAGGAATAATGAGGTAGAAAAGTCGAACTACCAATTCTGCTCTGCTGCAAACGATTTCATAGAATTTGGTCTTAATTCACCAAGGAGAAGTGAACCACTGCTGACGCAAACGACGCGAAACAGTAGTAGAGTCTCGAAACTCGGCTCTTCCATTGACACAAAGACATAAGTGAGTACGTATCTACCTTACCTAGGTACTTAGGTATGCAAATATTGGATATTCAATCTTGGTATTCGCTGAAGGCCTCTAACCATCATGAGCCGCAGAACTCACAATAGGAGGCACTGAGTGCCTAAGCAGCTAAGGTAGGAGGTATATCGCCGAGGTAGGCAACAGCTCCAGTCACTGCAAGGGTCGCCCCTCCCCCTCCGTCAGTGTTAGCCCATAACCCCACCATTGAATCAATCAAGCTCAGTCAGCCCAACAGCCGCCAATGCTTTGACCTTCACATCAGCCTCGCATACTCGAAACCTACGCGACACTTTTTTCTTTGCTCTTTGCAAACTCTTGTAATATCCCTCGAACACACAACACCCCCGGTTCCTCACTACCGCCGCCAGAATGTTGATCAAGTACGTCACATGCCGGAAATTCGATGTCATGCTGGCAAACATGGGAGCAAACTAACACTGCGATAACTAGGGTCCGCACATTGACCGGCAAGGAGATCGAGCTGGATATTGAGTCAGACTACAAGGTAAATATCGGAAGGCGCCAGACAGTTGAAGCAGAGAGATCTTAGCTGACCGCTTGTAGGTCTCCCAGATCAAGGAAAAGGTCGAGGAGAAGGAGGGTATCCCGCCCGTCCAACAGCGACTTATTCATGGCGGCAAGCAAATGTACGTTCCCATATAGACTTTTGAACGAACAGCATGTCTTTCAGTATGCTAACGCACCCTGTCTAGGACCGACGACAAGACTGCTGCCGAATACAATCTCTCCGCTGGTGACACTCTCCATCTCGTTCTCGCCCTTAGAGGAGGACGATGGATGGCATAAACACATCGAACGAATATTTGAGCGAACATAGTGGACCTCATCCCGACATAACGAGTTCGCCGCTCGACAACCGAGGATGACGAGGGATCACTGTACTAGGTAGAATTACTGAACACAGTACAACAGCTTGAACCCACGGGATCATGATGTCGAGTCAGCTGGAGCAGTCATGCGCGAACACTGCTGCTAGTACCAAACACTCTCAGAAGACACGGTGATAATACCAGAAGATACTATAAAGTTATTTTGATTGATTAAGCATCCCGTTTTAGCAAGCCTGGCTATGCTTATCTTTCACTCGTGGTCTTGATACTCTCATACACATCGCAAATTGGCACAAGCGCCAGCCTCGAATTCCATTCTATTCCCAGTCTAATTCCACGATTCATGGACTATTAGTCCGCCGTCATTGCTGCCATTCGCTTGTAGCCGTTGGTTCCCTTAATATGGCCCGTTATACACTGTACTCCCGTAATGCAAATGGGGTTGGAAATTGCCCCTCAAATAAACCTCCCTACAAACCGTGCCAAACATAAAAAACAAAGAGAAACACGAAGAATTGCTTTTTTGGACCTCAAGCTCTTTTCTTAGGCTTCATGAAGACATCCGTAGCCTTGCGCTTGCGTGGTCCGATGCCCGGATTCGGTCGTGTGTTTGTGAGACGTGTAGGTGAAGATTGTTCGGTCGGCTCTGGAGAAAGAGATATGTGTTTCTGTTGAGGGGCAGGAGATAACGATTTTCCAGCTGAAGTGGCCGCTCTGGGCCTTGAAGATGTTGTGATTTGAGGTTTAGGACCCTTATAGCTGTTGGATAGAAGACCAGTTTGCCTGACCTTGCTTGTAGAATCGCTGTGTCCAGCAGCAGCAGGCTTCTTCAGAGGAGACGACGATAAATGGGACGAAGCCTTTCGACGGGGTGCCGGCAGCTCATCGTCAAACAGATCATCCCCATCTTCCGAATCAGAGTCCGAGATATATTGCGCCCGTGCTTCATGGGTTTCAACTACATCAGATACTGCTGATTTTGGCGGAGGAGGGAGCGGAGGTCGGATCGTTGGCTTGGCGGCTCTCTGATAGTCGCCCACCATAGCTGCAGGCGCCTTGCGGAGTTTTGTAATAGCATTTGATGCTTGTGTTGGCCTTGACAGTGCGCCGTGGATACTGGCAATCTCCTTCGTCTCTCGTCGGACTTTGCGCATGACGCTTGCACCATTATGAGTCTTGGTACGACTTCCCCTGTTGAATGCGAGCGTGCTTCCATTTGGGTCCCGCGCTCCAAATCCCCAAGCCTTCTTTGGCCCGACTCTGCCTCCTCGGGGCAAGAGTCTTCTGTCATCGACAATCTTGCTGGTGTTCTTCTCCTTGTCCTCCTTGAGTCCCATGAGAGCATTCTTGAGCTTCGCCTCACTTTCCAAGAGGGCCTTCTGGTGATCTGACCTGTATTTCTCATACACACGATACCATTTAGTTGGGTTTGGTGGTTTGTATGCCTTTTGCTTGACTTCCATAGGAAACTCATGCTTGATAAGCTTCAGCCATACCTCACCTGTCTCGCCCTGTATTTGAGGTGAGTTTAGTTCGATAGTTCGTAGTTGTTTCGCGTTATCGATCTTGAGGAGAAGGAGGCGGACTGCTTTATAAGGAAGATAATCGCCAACACTGTCGAGTTCGCGGATGTTTTTGATGCATGCCGCAGTGGCAAGTTCCAACAGAGACTTGGGTGGCATCTTGAATCTCGGAGTCGTGCCAAAATTTCGTTCATAAGTTTCGGAAGCCCATGCGATCCTGATAGTGTGTATATGGGGAGATATGTGGAGGGTTCCGTGATAATTGTAACGACGCCTGAGTACGGAGTAGCAGTGTTAAAAGTTGAGGAGTAAGACGGACTAAGGCGGCGCAGGGTTATACAAGGTAAGGGGGTGACACAGTGGAAGAAAGAAGGGTGATTAAGTGTTGAGCTCCCTGGGGAGGTAGCCGAGCATTGCTATAAAGAAAGCGACAACATCGTAAATGTGTGATGTTCCGAGAGAGTTGAGATCTTGAAAGTGTACTCGAAAGTCAAAGTAAGCCTTTGTAGCTAGGTTGGGTTTGAGCCACGACGTAGTTGTCAGGGATATGATAGGCCAGGAACTCGCTCCACTGGCAAATGGGGATTAGATAGGCCTCGCCTCATCGAATTAGCGTGAATATAAACCGGCCGATCCTCAAAGCACTCAATCACTGGCACAAAGAACATATAACTTACTACCTATTAATAGGAGTGTGCTTGGATTAGATTCCACCCGCAGCTGCTATTACCATGTCTACGTTAAGTAACTAATATCACCTTTCAGTTGGCTGTAGGCTATACTGTGCGAGCTGATGGATGAAGTACAGTACATACGAACAAAGGCGATTCTGTTCTCATGATCCAATCAGAGCTCCACACCTCCATACCGACACCGTGTACATAGCTCCATTGTGGTACTGTACTACCTAGGCATGAGAAAGGCTCGCCATGAGCTTGCCTGGGTCTCCACTCAAAGACATCATTCACGACCTGATAGCCATTCTCTGGGGCGCGCGAATCAACAAGGCGCATGCAAAGTTCCTCCTTTCTTCTGTACAGAGGCATCCTAAACTTTGGATAAACTTCATATCCTAAACATTTTGCACACAGCACCTATCCAAGGTCCTCCGACTTATCGCATCTCCAAGTATTCCTCGTCCTGCACAACTTCGACCACCATCATGGCCGATTCCTTCATCAAGCAGGAGCCGTACATCAAACCCGACCCCGAGGCGTCTGGTTCTCCTGCGCAAGTTGACGAAGAAGATCTGTATGAAGATGCTGGCGACCTCGAATTCTACGAAAAAGGAGACGAAAGACCTAGTTCCTTCGAGCAACTCTACCTCGCGCGCGTTCCTCGATACATGTGGGAAGCTTGGTCTAAATTGACGGAGCGACTCGGCGACGACGACGAAATTCAGATTGGCACTCTGCGAACATGGGTTGAAAAAAGACCCGATGGTAGCGAAGATGTACGCATACCCGATGAGACATCATGACACCATACTAATATACATAGACCAAACTTCGCATGCTTCTCTCCGCCAACTGCCCGGAGCATCAGGTGCTGCCTCGCGAATACGATCTGGTAGTCCAAGAACAAAACGTTAGCAACCACTTCATTTTCAGCGAGGAGGATTTGCCTGGCTTTAAGGCGCGAAGCAAGGCGCGACAAGAGGCTGCCGATGCTGGTATCCCTGCCTCATTGTTGAGGCAGAAACAAGGCAACAACAACGGAGCAGAACGACCGAGCTACGACCGTAGGAGTCGATATCAACCATACTATCGCAAAGCTGTCCCGAGTAAGCTTAGTTTCGCATAGCCGTGCCACGAATAGGTGCTAACAAACCGTCACAGAAAAGACAAAGATCTTTGGCAAGATTGCCTATGATGTTCGTGTTGAGCCCCACGGCAAAGATGAGGAAGAGCGGGTGCTTCAGCAGAAGATCCTGGATGCAGAGGCGAACAAATCCAAGGTCCAAATCATCAGTCGACACGCAGCTTCAGCCGTAGTGAACCCTGGAACTACCCGCGCAGCCGAATTCGGAGACAGCTTCATCGTACGTTTTGTTCCCGTCCAGTCTTTCATTCTCGGTTATGTTAACAAACGTCACAGAAAAACATCGCTGCCACAGCCAAGCCAAAGAAGGGCGAGGTATTCAAGGCAGCCCGTATTCCAGAGAACCAGCTTCTGGATCTCATTTTCGATTGTTTCCGCCAGTATCAGTATTGGTCAGTGAAGGCTTTGCGACAAAAGCTTCAGCAGCCCGAACAGTACCTTCGACAGGTGCTCGAGAAGATTGCTGTTCTTAACAAGAGTGGCCGGTTCGCCAACCAGTATTGCCTGAGCGATGCCTACCGCGACAAGGGTGGCGCAGAGGCCCAGGAGGCTGCTGCTGAACCTGTCGATGACGATGAGGACGATGCAGAGATGGAGGATGTGTTGCCCGTTTCCTAGTACCAGCATCGACGGACTTCTTAGAAGAGGATAAAAAGGGGCAAAATTTCACTTCAAGGATAACGAGCGGAGGATATCATTTAATGTGGTGTTCGAAGGATTCAGGGTAGGGTTTTTAGAGCGGCGATACCCTTCTAGTCTTATAGATTACCAGTTGTAATCAATCATCTAGCGAAACGTTTTGAGAGCCGTAATTCGCGTGTCAACTGAAGCTATCTTTATTTTATCCGACCTGAGATTGAACTTGGACTATAGCATTCTTGGCTGGGCTACTCTCGCACTTGGTTATCATGATCCACTCACTATTGTTCTAGATCATAGCTACCTACGTAATAACTTCCCCGCAGTAACCAATAATGCAATCTAAACTGGTCGGAGGCGAGGTTCTTTCCGACTGTTACAAGACCGGATCAGCTGCTGTCCAAAGCCTGGAATCACCCTCTTGGCTCAGATGTATGAATTCATATACACTCTTCTTCTCTTAATCCACCGGACAACCCCGCTTATGACCAAGGCTCGAGACAACATTTACTATCCGACCTGTCTCAAGATGCATCTGGTATTCGACTTTGATGGCACAATCACCCAAGAAGATTCTATTGGGGAGCTTGCTCGCTCAGCTCTCGAGATACAGAGGAACAAATATGGCCATGACCTCCAGACTTCTTGGGACCAAGTGGTGCAATCCTATGTTGCCGATTACAGACACTACAAAGACAACCATCCATCACCAGAGGTTACTCGAACATCTGTGGATCATGAGATCAAATTCCTATCAGGAATGAAAGATGTGGAAGAGAAGTCTCTACGACGCATTGCTGACTCACGCATCTTTGCTGGTCTAGACGCTGAGACGTTGTCGCAAGCTGGTGCTGACGCTGTCAAGGCCGGCAGAATTAAGCTCAGAGATGGATTTACGGATCTTATAACCCTGGCAAGACAGAGAGGCTGGGATGTGAGTGTCATATCGGTCAATTGGTCCCGGGCCTTTCTACGAGGCGCTCTTTTACCACATAAAATTGAGGTTATTGCCAACGAACCGGCTTCAGATGGAACAATAAAAGGACCAGAATTTTTCGAGGGGAGAATGACCAATGTGTGCGAGAAGAAGAAAGCTTTGAAACACATCATCAACGAGAAGGACGGGGAGGTGATTTATTTTGGGGACTCGACCACGGATATGCAGTGTCTGCTTACAGGAGGAGTAGTCATATCGGACAACGAGGAGTCCCCCTTGCTAAAGACTTTGAAAAGGGTCGGCATTGAAGTGCCACATATTGGAGAGAAGAGAAATGGTAAAATATCCTGGGCGAGGAACTTTCGAGAAGTACTGGATAGTGGCTTGTTAGAAGCCTGAGGCTTAGGACAAAGTTTCCGGTTCCTGAAAGAGTCCTATGTCTCTTTGTTGTTGGTGCTAATAGCACATGGATGTACATGGTATTTTGAACATCAAAGCGTTTGACAAAGCGTGCATGCTCGAACTCAAGACCTGTGATGACAACCCTGTGAGCTCACGGACGCTTGCCGAATTAAGTACCTTCTTAATATATTTGCGTTTCTTAGTCCACGTAATATTCACATTGGATGTGATCACTGAATGCTTTAAAAGGAACTTAAGTGAAGCTGGTCCGCCACACATGATGTGTTGTTTTGTTCTGGAATTACTTGTTCATGCATGTCACTTGTCACAATGAATCAACAAACAAAGCCTATATGAACATGTGAACCATTCACTTTTCTGAGAGATATAAAAGCGATGAAATGCACGTTTTTGTCAAATTTCCTCTCCTAGTTCAGGGATCCCTCACCACAACCTCCAAACTCCGCAAAAGGATTATCAGTATGTGCGTCTACGGTCGAGTCGTTTTTAAATGTGCCCACGAGCGCTGGGGCATCTGCGTAAAGCGATGCCAAACAGCCAAAGACTTCAGCGATGGAAATTTAACCCATGACTGTGTCATCAAGAAGCCTCATGTACCGACTTCGCGGAGGATACAGACAATGTGCAACAAATGTATCACCATGGATGGCAAACTCGACAGGGCAAAGAAGAGCATTGACGATGTTAAGCAAAAACTGAAGAGCATAGAAGAGAGGAAAATCAGGGATGGACAGACGGAAGAGAACAAGATCGATAACAGTAAGAAAGTGGGGAGGAAAGATGAGAACAGGAATAGTAATGAAACGAGCTCCTGGAGTTTCGGGACGGGACTTGGGAGTATTACTGAGGAGAGCGAAGCTGAGGATGAGTCTGCAAGTGATGGAAGTAGTCGAGGCAGTTCACAAGTCTCCAGCACTGAAGGAAGTGTATAAAGCAGTAAAACCGGATGACCAAATGTCAGAATACATGGAGAAGCCCAGTAATATCTTAATTGGAAGCCTGCAACTTGTCTGGCTCCCCTCAACTATTCAGGTATACGACATAATAAAACCCCGATTATGCACCCATTCACTTATGATTTTTCTATAGGCACGTAAAATTCAGAATGTGCCAACCGAATAGACTATGATTGCCAGCGTTCTCTTGGTCTATATACTTGTACCTCTACCTCTCACCATCTTGTCGAAGTGCTGACATATTGTATGTCAACCAACCTATTCAGTATTTGCTCTATACACTGTCATTGTTAAAATCTCCTATGGCCAGCTTTAGTACGAAAGAACATCTGATATGTTGGGCAGCAAGACTGAGAGATTTCTTACCGTAAATGGTTATGAGT